GTGCTTAACCGGCGAAATCCACTCCACGGCGATGACAAAAATAAATGATCCTGGCACTTTTTCGGCGCTGATAATCGAAAAGTTTCAAGTCGTCCACAGAAGGCTTAATCGTCGACTCTTTTCAAGGTGCATGCTTAAATGTGGGATGTATGACGGCAAAAAAAAAAAAACAAACAAACAAAAACAAACACTCGCAAAGAACCTTTCCGTGATCCTCAGTTCGCTGCCTTTGTCCCATCGCTTCATGCTCCGTCTCAGTCGGGTAATTCATTAACTTTTATTTCATCCCAGATCCCAGCGGCTGTAAAACTGTAAAAATGGAGGTATAGTAAAAAAGGAAAACGGTCGAAGGACGGGCTTCTGAGTTCGACTTCATCCAACTTCATTTTTTTCACGGTGACATACGAGACTCACGGAAATATGACACTTTTCGCGGGAAACAAGCCGTTCTATTTATAAATCTACTCGGGAAAGGGTTGACTCAAGAAATTAGTGGAGATGGAGGCTCCATTTGATGGGCTCCTGGAAAAGGCAAATACGATACGACGTTCGAGCAGTTTCCATGTGAGAATCGATGACTTGATATCAGTGAAAAGAAAGAACCGTTCCTTAAAACCTAGCGCTTGTACGATAAAGCAGAAGAAGAAGAAGAAGAAGTGCAAAGTGCGACCAGCCGTTGAAAGCCGCACCCAGATAGCTCGCGATTATCCGTTGTGACCAATCTTCTTTAAGAGGAAAATAACTAGCTCGAAAATACTTTTGAAGTTAAAACGTTGTTAAAGTTTTTTAGGCCTATTGTAAACAGAAGGAATCTAAGAACGTTGATACAAGCTACATTATACTGTTTAAGTCAGGTTTTCTTACCTCTTAAGTTGCCTTCAAGTGAACACGATCAATCTGTGTACGGTAACTGTGATGCAAACAAACTGACGCTCTTTAAGTCTTAAACTGTACATAATTATGTATTCTTACCACTACTTGCTTGACCTGCCTAAAACAAAAAGCCCTGCTACGTTTTTGAACATCACTATTGTCACAGGTTGGTTTGATTCTTTCCTAGTGACAGTGAGGCAAATTCTATCAGAGCATTGGACTATGATCCGACACGCAAACCACGCAAAAAAAATGAATAGACGAGTAGGTGCTAAAACGAAGGCCCCAAAAAGCAGGCTGAAGTCCCTTTTCAATTTCATTGACGGAAACACCATTCTAAAACGAGGACTCTTTCACCTGAAGGGAAGACCCTCTGATCTCAAATGAAAACTCCCACTGATCTAAATGAAATAAAGAAACCACTGATCCAAAACGAAGAAACAACTTGACGAAAGACCCAATGACCGGAACAATCAAGACCCGCTTACCTGAAGCAAAGATCTAACTTTACTTTACTTTGAAAGTTTAAACAAAAACCTTTTAATTTCCTTTAACTATTTCATTTGTCCTTGCTTATATTTTCATACACTAAAATGCTTAAAGAAGTCTCACTACATAAAACAGAAAGACCCTCAGACACTAAACGACAGTGGACGTAATTATACGCAAGTAGTCTCGTTTTTATGCAAATAATGGTGATATGCCGGCACGCTCAAAATAAACTTGGCAAATAAACAAACAGTCCCCGTTTCAAACATTGTATAATCGACCGGCATTGACTTTTCCAAGTGGGTGGTGTTATTGACCGTCAGGCAAAATGAAGCCCAATTCTCTGAAGACAGTAACCTGCAACGTCTCACTGCTGATCAGAAATGATTGGACTGACATCACGCGGAAACCACACCAAATATGAAACAGATGAACAATCTTAAGAGAGTAATTTTAAAAGGAAGACACAACGAAAACCCTTTGGTCTTAAACAAGCACGGTGTTCCATAAAATTCGAATTCATTTATCCAGAACTGTGAAGAATTGGCGCTGCCGTGCCCAAACTTTCACGCACCAGTGCCTCTTTTTAGGGGGCCGAGTCCAAAACGTTCGTAAACCTGGCTGCTGTAACCACGTTATTAAACAACAGTGGCAGAAGTTGAGTTAGTGGAATCTTGGAACCACGTTGGATGTTAAAAGTTTTTTTGTGTTCTATATTCAGTAAAAACCGTGTTTTTTTAGTTCATGGAAATGAAAACTTTTTGCTCTTTTCGGTTAAATCTTTAGATAATGATTGTTGCTAGTCGGTCTTTTAAAGAAGTCTTCATTCCTTTTCCACGTCAATGCTAACCTTGGTTCTGCATCAAAAAACAAATTGATTTTCTTTTATTGCAACTACTACTGCTTATCTCGCCAATCTTTTTATTTCACTTTAGAACTATTTTGTTGTGATTTGCTTGGTTGGACATCAGAATGGAAGAATAGAAGTGGTATTTTTTCCCCGGGGCACAAATAAAGATTGATTGATTATTGTTGATGTATAACTGAAATAGACGAGCTGTTTTGAGAAAGTGTATCTAAAACAAGCCACAAAAACGAAGACCGTAGACCGACCGAAAAAACTCATTGTAAAAGGCTCTTAGTTCAAAACACAAAAGATTTTTCATTGCATCTGGTTGCATCAAACGGTACAACGACGGTTTGAAAAACGTTCTTAATCAAACAGTTTAAAAGATTAGATTCTTTCTAAAAGCCGCTTTGATGAACTGTTCTGAAAGTTCGGGAATGTATTACCATTACAATAATTATTGCCGGACTGCTGTAACCACGTTATTAAACAACAGCGCTGTGGGAGAAGTTGAGTTAGTGGAATCTTGGAACCACGTTGGGCGTTAAAAGTTTCCCTGCGTTCCATATTCAGTAAAAACCGTGTGTTCTGGATTAGCTATTTTCTAGTTAATGGAAATGAAAACTTTTGGTCTTTTTGCTTAAATCTTTAGATAACGATTGTTTGCCACGTTGCTAGTCGGTCTTTTAAAGAAGTCATTATTCCTTTTACAAATCAATGCTAACCTTGGTTCTGCATCAAAAAACAAATTGATTTTCTTTTATTGCAACTACTACTGCTTATCGCGCCAATCTTTTTCATTTCACTTTAGAACTAGTTTTGTTGTGATTTGCCTGGTTGGAGATCCAAATGGAAGAAAAGAAGTGGTATTTTTTCTCCGGGGCACTAATAGACGAGCAATTTTAAAAAAGTGAATCTAAAACAAGACACAAAAACGAGGACCGTAGACCGACCGAAAAAACTCATCGTAAAAGGCTCTTAGTTCAAAACACAAAAGATTATTCATTGCATCTCAAACGGCGTAACGACAGTTTTAACAACGTTCTTAATCAAACAGTTTAAAAGATTAGATTCTTTCTAAAAGTCGCTTTGATGAAAAGTTCCGGAATGTATTACCATTACAATTGCCGGGGGAATGACTTAAAGTTCTGGAATCTTTGGTTTAATATGGCTGTTTACTGCTTTTGTTCGATAAATGCGCAGCTACAGCTCTGTGGCGGATCGCGAAGGGTAGGGGTTCCGAGTTTGCCTGTATTTAATGGTTGATGGACATTATGGGGTTATTAAAACGAAAACGAATAAGCCGATTAGTCAGCTCAGACGCTGAGGTAACTACCATTTATTTCTTTCCAAAATTAGAATATAATTTTTTAGCTTTAACAATTTGAATATATTATATAAAAATAACTGCGAGGATTTGGATAAATAAACAGCATTTATATTTTGATTATATTAATCGTTTGCTTATAAAATTATTCTCTTTTATATTATGTATTTCTGAAAGAGCACGACAAACGTTTAAAAAAGCCATTGCCTTACTTATAAAATTAAGAGCGGGCGTACGTTCTGAGGGACTATAAATCTTTAAAAACAAACAGTCACGTAACTTTGAGTTAAACACTGGCAAAACTAATAATTATAACTACAAAACAGTGCCGATGGATTTAATCCCAAGGCACCACAAAATGGCCGAAAAATCGTATAGCTAATAGGTAGCAATTTTCGTGCACAAATTTTCCCCCACTACCACCGCCCCAATTTCTCTATTCCAGTGACACCTTATTTACGTTAACATAAAAACGTTAAATATAAAAATTCAGTGACGCTTCTTTTTAAGTTTTTGACGAAAGGATATGGTTTCCAATACAAAGGTTTTGGCGAGGTAAAAACTCATATACCAACCTTCGTTACGTACAATGTTAGAAAAATCCTGATCCTGATTGTGATTGCTATAAACTGTTTACAAACATAATCATTTAAAAAATAATCAATAATTTGGTTTGAGTGTATGACAAGTCGACCAAATTGGTCTGAGAATACTTATTTAGACAGTTAGGAGAAAAGGTTCACCGTTTCAAACAATATCGCAACAATGTTGCAACGCTGCGTTGTGCTAAAAATCATCGTTGCGAATTGTCTCGTGTAACATCACCTAAAGATCATGTTACACGAGACGATTTACAACGACGATTTCCAGCGCAAAACAGCGTTGCAATGTTGAAATAATGTTGCAACCATTCGAAACAATGTCGCAACAATGCTGTAATGCTGTGTTGCACTAAAAATTGTCGTTGCAAATTGTCTCGTGTAACACACAATTCCAATTCGCCACTTTAGAAACGAGAAGGCAACTGCAGCTGAAATGTGTCCCGCCATTGATTCTGGGATCGTTACTGGGGACGCTTTTGGCCAACTGTAACTGTCCCAGAAGTCTTTGCGAAAGTTAACTCGTCCCAGTTTCCTTTTCGCTCATAAAGCGACGAATTGGCTTTTTCTTTTAAGATCATTAAAGAACAAAGAGGGTGTAAGGAAAATCAGTTTTACAGTTTTCCCGAACGGCAAGCTATAGCTTGAATGTACTAGCTAAAAAGAATAAATATCTTTAACTAACCCGAAAAAACATTTGATGAGCAGGATTGATTACAGTTCTTCGGTAATTTAACCTCCCCCCCCCGCCCCCCCAAGAAAACGTCACTTGCCCGTCGGGCAAGTTAAGGACTGAATTTACTAGCCCGATAGCAGATCTCCCTAATTGAATTTTCAACTGTATCTGCGGATAAATTCACGTGAGTTAAACTTCCAGACTGCGCTCATCGTCGTTTTTGATTTCGGTACCAAGCCTCCTATTCATACTAATATCACCTAATAGTCCCTTTACCGGTTGTTCTGGACCTTCACGGGCTGGGCTCGAGACTGACGGGGCTGGGCCCCAGGCTGCCTGCGCACCCGAGTCACTTACGTTCACTCGATGAGCAGCACGTTGTGACATAGGAGGACTGTGGCCAATTGATGCGCCCTCTTGGGACGGGTGCACTGCAGAGCTGCGAAAGAACCCTTTGCGGTGATGCGTACGTCTGGCCCTCTTACCGGGCTCTTGGCCGGACGAGCTGTTTGTCGCTGACCGTGTTCTTTCTCCTTCCACGGAAGTGTTGGGTCGAGCAACTAACTCAGAGACGCTGGGAAATGCCTCAGAGCCCTTCAGCGAAGGCCCGTGCCTCAGGCTATACATGGACTTGGGCTTGATGGGCATCTCTCTCCGCAGGTCCTCCACGCAACCGGAGCTAGAAGAGGCTGTGCTGTACAAGCTGGTCTTTCGTTCCAACAACTCATCACCACACGAGTTATAATCACGTAAGACACCGTCACGCGAGTCACTGTCACGGAGGGCTATATCACGCAATATATTTGTTTGATCATAAGAAAATTGTTGTTCAGGATGCCTCAAATCCCAGTAATCGTCGCTTTGTTCGAAAGTATCAAGACTCAAGCTTGAAAACCCGAGATTACTTCTTTCGCCACGATTAACACCTAACAGATAAGGATTACTCGAGAACCCATACATCTCAGCCCCTCTAAAGGGATACCTGACAGACCTTGAACGATTTTGCTGCTCTGATCTGCTGACCTCATCGGAAACATCATGAGAGCTAGAACTAGACAACTGCCACTTAGCCGCTGACATAGCACTGTGGTCGCTTTCGTATCCACTGCCACAGAACAAGGAAGAGTGATCTGCTTGGTACAGGTACTCCACGTCATCATCATCATCGTCGTCATCACATTCCGTATAGCAATCCATGAACAGGTCTGAACCAAACAAACCTTCCACGCGCTCTATCATCTCATGGATTTGATCGTCAACCACGTCCAAGACATGCTCCTAGAAGGAACAAAACAAGAACTCTTTAAAAGGACACGGAGCATTTAAATCCCCTAAGCCCTTTCAAACCCTGATAGGGTGAAGTGCTTTGATGAGGCTTTCAGTTTTGGCCGACATACGCCCCATTTTCCGTCCTCGCAGAACAATAGTATGTACGGCTTAACTGACAGACGACCAATAACATCGCGACGTAATTGACCAATCAGACCAATAACCAGAGGATAATACCATCAACTGACGTGATAGAAGTCACTTTGACTCTGAATATGACTATACCGCACAGATTGTCGAAACGTCAGTAACTGTCAACAACAACAGTCCTATTCAGGACTACGTTCACCTGGACGATCAAACTCAACCTACTTTTGGAATAGTATGTGTTTTGTGGGTCAATTTTATCCTTGGTTTAAGTTTTATTTTCCTTTGTTTGAAACTCATTGTCATACATTACCATACCCCAAAAGTCTTGTAGTCCTCCTTTCATTTCGGTTTATTTTCAACAGAATAATTAAACTAGGAATACGTCGCTCGATCGCACTCAAAGCTTTGTGGTCGAAATGAACACTGGGATGGCCTGCCATCCAGCGAACTGCTGCTAAGTAGTATCCAAGCACGTGATCAAGTTCTCCAGAGGGCCTATTCCATCTTCCCTCGCGTGTCTCCCTGGCAACCCGGTTCTTTCTTACGCTTATTATTTGCTAGCACCTGTTATGTAGGCTAGATTTCAAGTTCCACGAAAACCAATTAAGAAACGCGAAACACATTATCTACTGATCTAGATAATAAGTAGGTTGAGCATGATCGTCCGGGTGACTGAGAATGACTGGACAATCGACAATTTGACTAAGAATACACGACTGTTTATCTGTGACAATAGACGGATCGAAACGCACCAATGACATTACGAGTCTTCATAGCCAATACCATTACGGCTTAACTGACAGACGACCAACAACATCGCGACTTAATTGACCAATCAGTTCAATAACCAGAGTTCAATACCATCAACTGACTACCGCAGAGGTCATCGAAGCGTCAGTCACTGTCAACAACAGTCCTACTCAGGACTACGTCCACCCGGACGATCATGCTCAACCTACTTATGAAATAACTCCTGGATTCAAACTTTTCACAGTTTATCTAGAAAAGTTAGAAAAAATAATTTACGTTTTTTTAAAATCATAAATTACCGTAGGGAACGTAGCGGAGTCCTCCTCAAGTCCTTCTAGTTCGAATTCATCATCATCTTCATCACTGCCATCATCGTTACTGTGGTCATCTGCAGTGGAATCTCGCCTTACTTTTTGGCGGATACTGTCCTCCAGCCACTTGAACCTGTTGGAGGTTTATTCCAGGAATGACAAATTACTATCACAGTTGCAGCCACAAGGCATTGGATTCATTCATACCGTTAAACAGCGAAATTCACCAGGATGTGGTCATTAGAAGCGAACATTTGAAGTTCATATTACGACAGTCCAGTCTCGAATTCGTCGCTGCCGCTGAATAGAAGTACTGAAGACTCATTTATACAAGGTTAGCTTCGACCTAAGGTAAGGAAACTGGACTACGGATGTTATTCTTGCGACTGACCTCGTGAGCAGCCAGCTCCAACCATTTAGTTTCATTGTTCATCAGTACTCGGAAAACTCAGGGATTATTGCGGGCGACAAAAGAAGCCTGAAATCCTAATATACAGGTTGCTATTACGCATGCACGGGACATATGCAGCCGGCTTCGTTTGGTGAATGAATGGAATGTACTGAACGCAATCTGATCACGCGTGTTTTGGCCATCTATCACGTGAAACTTATGCAGAGCAGTAAGCACAGCCTTGGAGTAAGGCGTTTTTACATTCTATTGTTGTCAGCGGCACTCCGTAACCTTCGGCAATTACTAGTAAGCTAATATTAAGCGCAATAATCTCTTTAAGGGGCATTTGGCCGCCCTGTGGTAAAAATCGTCTGAGAAAAAAGAGCAGAAATTCCCTACTTATGACAAGTGACTAACCAGATCTGGTCGTGCTTTTGATTGGTTGAAGCAAATTTTCCACGCAGCACGACCAATCAGAAGCACTACCCAGATCTGGGTAGTGACACGTCATCAGCATGGAATTTCCGCGCTCGTTTCTCAGAAGTGAAGGAAACCAGTGGTGGCGTGGCGAAACGTTGACCATTTTTTAAGGCAAAATGCAGTGTACATACTTCGTTCGAATGAAGTCCTCCAAAACATCGGATAAGAGATTCTTTCTTCGCTTTTTGAGGTGTGGCAATCCACTTACAAAAACGGCAGCCGTCTGTAACATAAATAAAAATAACGACAAAACAAAGCTAAGAGGAAATATTCCAAATTATATCTTTCGCAACAAAAATAGGATCTGTGAAGAAATTATAAATCTGTAACAGCCCAGTTCCTACGAAAAAACATACTACAACTAGGCCTTTCGTTAAATAATAAGTAAAGAGGTTTTCCCTTTACCTGTCAAGTACCGGAAGCATATATGCTTCTGGAAATACTTAAACATAAACAGTAGTTTCACGCCAGTTTTAACCATATATTACGCTTTTATCTGCTCATTGAGAAATTCTTTTCGAATCTGACGTTAACCGTTGGCTGTAACCGTGACTCTTAGGCTATGTTTGCGCTATACCTGATACAAACAAGCTCTTGTCGCATCCTACATCCCTGATGACCCTCGCTCTTTCAAATCTATATGCTTGACCTGTAACGCTGCCCATAATTTAGGACGGAACAACACCTGTTGTCTTTAGATAGTATCGAGTTTTTACATTTTTTAGCGATCTGTGTCTTGGGCCCGCAGTAATTGGCACTCGCTGTGGCGGTGTCCCCGCCTGTACTGAACTCCTGTGAATATATGTACACTTTTTTTTGTGGTGTCACTTAACTTGTTTGGCGAAGTTAATAAAAAAAATAGAAACGTATAATGCAGGTTTTCTTCCTATGAACGAGGACTCAGTGGGGGATAAACTTGACATCAAACGAGAATGTCTAAAGATTAGTGTCGGCCAAGGGTTTCAATAAGCACCGACGACCAACGAAATGCGTCGGCTACATTGCTCAGAGAAGTCGGGTACTTTTTCCTCCGAAGAAGAAGCAACTACTTTGAATAATGTCATGTACAAAAATATAATGTAACTTAGTATAATTATCATTTGCTCATTGCTTGCAGGAGTTTATTGTGTGGCTAATAAATCAAAATTTGACTAAAACCCAAATCTTGCTAAATGGAATACTCGCTCTTTTATTCTCAGTTTAGTTCCCTAAACGCTGGAAATCGCTTATTAGGGCTTTGCAATTTTAAAATTTTGCGAGGGAGCATGCCCCCAGTCAATGTAGGCTCTATTCAAATCTGCTGGCTACTTCAATTTTTATTGAAACCCCTGGGGACAGTGTCCCTCACTAAAATTGCAATTAGTATAGGTAATAGCATCATTTGTATAGGTAATAGACGATAATAGCATGATTTGTGGTGATATTTGGCATAAATACCACCAGTGATATTTCAAAATTGCTATACGCAATTTCACGAGCCGTTAGGTGCGTGAAATTTGAGAGAATTTTGAAATATCACTAGTGGTATTTTTGCCAAATATCACGTACAAATCATGCTATTATTTGTTTATACTACAACCCACAAAAGGTTTGTAATTTTCGCATGTAGGTATTTCAAATTAAGCTGAAATACCACTGCTCTAAGCCAATCAAATTGCAGAAATTTCTCATGTAGTAGTATAAGTAGAGATATTTGGCATAAATACCACGAGTGATATTTCGAAATCGTTATACGTAATTTCACGAGCCGTTAGGCGAGTAAAATTTTGAGACAATTTTGAAATATCACGAGTGGTATTCATGCCAAATGTCACATACAAATCATGCCATTATTTGTTTATACTACTACCCACAAAAGGTTTGTAATTTTCATATGTAGTTATTTCAAATTAAGCTGAAATACCACTACTCTAAGCCAATCAAATTGCAGAAATTTCTCATGTAGTAGTATAATAAAATAAATTTTTAAATCAGTAAGGAAGCACTTATCTTCTATACTTAACCTACCGTTCCTCTCATAACAACACAGAATCCAACCAGGAACAAGGCAAAGTAGAACAACATCAAAACGGAATCGCCCTCAAGCGCGGGGTCCTGGTATCGAGACACGCCATTCATCCTGAAGAAATTGCTGACCAGTAAGAACGTCTCTCCAAACGACTTGAAGGCGGAGTGCACGGGGCCAAATAACAAATGTCCCAGATGACTAAACGCCATTACGAAAATGAGAATCAGAACCTAAAAAGACATTCACAGAAAACTGTTTTTCTAGCCCTTTGCACAAATTTGGCAATTTGCAAAAATTAGCAAAATAGGAAAAAGCGATTTGGTTCACATCCGTTTAAAATCAAAAGAAGTGAATGAAAGGTCTGAAGCAAGAGCTAAAACAACAACAACTAAAACACAACTTAAACTAGAAGTACTTTCCTGTGGTGCGTGACTATTCAAATGAAAGCTTCTGAGCAGTACTTACATGTGGTACTGTTTATTATGCTTTACAGGGTGGTAAAATTCGTTTTAGTTTGTGGAGCAGAAATTCTAAGGTGTGACCTTTCCTCTGTATGCTGGGGAGCAGTACTTAATAGACCTTATTCACGATACCCGCAATCTTCGCACGCGCTTTATGACTGATGGGATAAAAGCAATGTCCCCTGGTATTTCAGGGGGCAAACAAAAGATAAAATTTGCCAATACGAGAAATCGCGGTCGACTTTGTTTATTCTCTGAAGACGAAACAACGATTTAATGGTCACGCAAAATGTACGGTTTGCGTTTCGGCAAAATTTACGTCATTATTGCTAGCTGTGAGGACATCTACGGTCGCTTCTGCATTAAAAAAAAGTAACAACGATCACTTTCACCCATAATTTGCCATTATCGTCTTTAATATAGAAACTTGTTCATTTTCTGTTGTCAAGAATAAACAAACTCGACTGCAATTTCTTGTATTGGAAGAATTTATCAATTGTTTGCCCCCTGAGAAACCACGTGACATCGCTTTTATCCCATCAGTCCTTAAGCGCGTGCAAAGATGGCGGGCAACGTCAACACGGTCTATTGTGATGCTGTTCATGCACCCTGCGAGAAGAGCCTTGAAATCAACGCCGTCCGAACTTCTGGACTAGTCAATCCTGTTTTCTCTTGTCAAACTGGTTTTTCGAGTGCGAGCATCTCATCTACTTCTTGATAAACCGATGGTTACAACTGAACCTGCTGTATATACTAAGCACAGGGCCATTAGGCCTGGGTTCGAAAGTGTATCCCAGCAACATGCAGCGCATGCTCAACAAAGGTTTTACTCGATTCAAGCAGCGTCTTTCTCGAGCACGTCAAGATCGAGCAAGCAAAAGAAAGAGTCCGCTGGCAGGGTGATGTTTACGGTGATAAATGTGTTATTTTGTGTGGGGACTCACCATACAAGCCAGCAAAGAACAAGAAGCAGAGGACATAATTCTGCCCACCCGCCAGAAGAATCGGTACGGCCTCAACATATACACACCACGAACAACGAGAAAGAATAGGATAAGGGAATACAAAGTTTGGAGAGCAGCCTGTAACAAAGAACAATAAATAATCATTAAACTAACTGTACAGGAAAAGTTACGTTTTTCCAGAAAATATCCATACCCACGACGGAAAGCACTTTTTCTTTAGACCCCCCACCCCCCTACCCCTCGGAAATTCCGTGATCTTTCCACCTTAGTTGGGTACTCCCTGGAAAGAACATTTCGGTCAGAAATGCTGTTGCTTTATACTATTATAAATGTAGAAATGTCATGGTTTTTGCGATAATGTGAGAAAAAAACTCCATTTTGCCTTGAAGAGGTCTTTCGTAGCTAATGATTAACGGTAAAACATTGCCGGAGAACCACGGAGGGAATACCTTACATTAGCACGGATGATGCAATCTTAAAAGAACCAGTTACATTCAAACTAAAAACAGAGTGAATTCCTGTCAGTTAAAACGTGTTTTAGAAGAAGGCTTACATCACGACCATACTACTGACGGTGAATACCACAATAGTGAAATAAAACAATCGCTAGATATCCGGAAGTTCCTTCACAAGCCGAAGGCAAATGTATTAAAAAAAAAAAAACAATCCCGGAAGCCGTTAAAAAGCATTCAGCCAACCGTAATTAACGGATCAACAATGAAAACAAGAATTCTTGTTTTGAAACACCAGTTAACAGTAAAATATCTGATATTTTGGCTAAGAGGACAGCTGTTAGTTGAAAAAACAAAAACAACAACAACAACCAACCTTACTCGGAGCCGCCGGAAAAAGACCTCGCAAAATCCATCCCACCACATCGGAAATTGCCACCTTTTGGACCCCCCCTCCCCTCAGAATTTTCGTTGCCCTCCGTGGGGAGGGTATGGCTATTTTCTGGAACTACACAATTCATGAATTATTCACGTGGAAAATATAGGTGATGAAAAGTTGAATCTTGACTTGATTGCAATTGGATTCACTGGACTAAAATTAAGGGTGCTTATTTCGTGGTCAAGGTAACTTGTAATGTCGAAAATTACCATAATGACTTTTCATTAAGAGCGACTGTCTGTAAATATCGACCAAAATCGTCTATTTGTGGCACAAGTTCAAAATTCGAATTTCGCTCATTTTTGGCTCATCGATAACCCTTAATGAGTAATGAAACATGCTGTAGTTAGTTTTCCCAAATAACGTATTCTTTTGCTAAAATTCGAGAAAACTCATTTTGCCCGTTCGGAGCTCAAAATCCACTTCCGGTAAAACGAAATTTTACACAAATTTCATTGACTCGTATGTCAAACTACAAGGATTTGGCAGCCTTTGAAGAAAACGAATAGTTTTTATGACCCTTTCTTTCTCATAAGACGACAAATTTGTGAAAGCTGTAATAAGTTTGTGGCCAAAAAGGTATTGTTAAAAATAGGCCCTATTGACAATTTCACCGGTTCAAAATTATAGGGTTAAAATAATGTGAATTTTTACAATGCGCTATAACTTAGAATTTCGCAAATTGACTTTCTGCGGTTTAACTAGGCCCCAATATATCAGAAAATCGAAACAAATCTCTGGGCAAACGATTTTAAGTAGCCCGCAAGACGCCCAGTTCAACCCTAATTTTGCGAAAAATCGCGACATTCCAGTCGTTAAAAATAGCGTGACACGGCCCGTCACGCCAGCGGTGTTAACGACAGATTCACTTTCAACATTCTATTCAACACTGATCACATGCCGAATTCCAGCATAAAATCTATATTACATCTTTCAATAACCTTATCTTATTTAGAAGAGTCATTTTGTTTGGATACAATATATAGTGTAGAATTGCCCAAAAGTCGGCTTTTTTCAGCGACGTCGGCAAGACGTCGACGACCGAGCCCAACGAAAACAAACTTTGAACAAGTACAGTGGTGTGTTTCATTAATTTAAGCATCCGTCAAAAGGCATAAATACGTTAAATTTAAGACAGGGATAACCAATATTAACTAATTCGAACAATGTTTTTTTCTTGCGAGTTTTCTCTTTCAAGTAATTATGTATAAGTATAAATGTACGTTTGGATGTATTACTATCACGCTTATAAAGATACATTGTAACGAACGTTTCAGAAAACGTTTTAACTCGTTTCGATCGAAGATGAAACGCCATCATCAAAAACAAATCACCAAAAACTTTCCTCTACAGCAAAACGGAAAATAGAGAAAAAAGTGGCGTTTTACTAATGCTAAAGCAGGAATAGTTGCAGCGTGATCATGAGCGTTTAAAAATGGCAAATGCGCCTAAATGGACATCTTCCCTTGCATCGCCATTGGAAAAAAACTCTCTGGCCCACTATGAACTAGCCTATTCCAGGCGTAGTGGACAGTGGATAGTGGATAGAGGACAGTGGCGCGAAATGGGGAATGGAGGAAAACAAACGTGGAAAAGAGTAAGAGGGAGAGACTAGGAGGACCTTTCGCCCTCAATCCCTAACCCCGCCCCTTCGCCATTTTTACTAGCCCACTTTTCTTTGCGTTTTCCCAACTATCTGAAGGCCTGTTACAGGTTACCTACGTCCTTCATTTACAAATTTTTACGGTATATAACGTATTTATTCGATTAACCGCCCTGGGCGCTTATTAAATTTTTGGACCTTGAGAGTGGGCGCTTATTCGAGGCTGGGCGCTTATTAAATTTCGCCATTCTCAGCAAGTGTATTATGTTTATTTTGCAACAAAACAATAAATGGTAATTGCAAAAAGCGGACATGTAACAAAGCAAGGTTTCTGTAAAATGCTCTGAAGAAAACTCCGTCCTCGGGAGGGTGTATTATTATCTCTTATTTAAGTCTGTGAAGGAGGGAGTGGGGTGGTGGTGGGCGCTTATTCGAGGCTGGGCGCTTATTAACTGTTCTGCCTTTAGGAGGGGCGCTTATTCGAGGTGAGCGCTAATTTGAGGTTGGGCGCTTATTCGAATAAATACGGTATTCAACTTGAGCGCCGAGCACTTTTGGCGCTTTGTTATTGATCAGCAGGAACGGATTTGGTAGTACTAACTTTTCAATTGCTTTTAGACTGCGAATTTTTTTTCTTTCTTTCTAATATTTTTTCTTTGTCAGTTTCTACCGTATTTTTTAGACTTATTTTTCGATCCTCTCCCCAGTCTCACTCACTCTGCCCCGCCTCCCCTTTTTCCGAAAAAAAAAGGAAACTTTCCTCATCCTCCGTAGCCTTAGTCCATGAAACGTAGACGCCCAAGCGGGCCTCCAAAACCTTACCTTTGTCTTTGTCACAAACCGAATAAGACTGAAAGCCTTCGTCTGCTTTACGTAAGTACCGTGTAGATCTCCAGAAGAATTGTTTGCAGCCGGCCCCCTGCTGCTGGTCAATATATAGGAAGGCTATTCCAAAGAACTGCTCCAGAAAAACTATTTTTCTTAACATTTTTCTGGGGTAGAGGAATAGCGAGTTTTCTGTGTCTCTTAATAAGTATACGATCTACTATGCACTTAACAAGGCCCCTCAAGGTACTTAAGATATATGACGCATATTCTAGGATACACTCGCCTCTCACCGCTCTTTGACGAAATGTTCCTAGCGGCAGATAGCGAAGAGGGGAAGCTGTATCGCAGGCTTTTGGACACAAGGCTTATCTACTATTTACATGGGTAAACCGGCCGCTCCACTGTTTGGGCAAATGGTGAGGAGAATTCAGGACTGATTAATTTTGATTCCGTTCGGTAATCGCGTTTACCATTTGCCTAAGTCAGTTTCGTTTACTGAAGGCCCCGAAAGCCTGAAACTGATATTCAAAAAAGCTTTGAAGACATGAAATCCGAACTTTCGCCTGAAAGTTTCCAACCAGGAAGACCAGGAAAATAGGCGAATGCCTTTTCAGACGTTCCGTTTGTTTCAGGAATTTTCCACTGAAACGTCGAAAGCAACCCGAAACTGAGTTAATGGTAAGCCTGGCAAAGCATAAAGTGTCCTCTTAGTTTGTTTGAATGGGTCATGTATATAGTCATGCAGTAGCTTCATGATTCATACACGTTGTCATACAAGTATATAGGCTCCTCTTTGGCATCCACCTAGCTTTTTTTTCAGTTTTGAGAGCCCGCAAGGGTAAAAACTTCGAAAAGAACTATTGCAGCAATACTTAGTCTAAAATATTTTTATTCTTTAAAATTGCTCCACGGAAATTAGTTTTTATAAACCAAATGGCATTGATTGGCGATGATTTAATTCGTAAATATCTCTCAATGCAAAAATTCATTCATTCATCAGTTTTGTTCTGTTTATATACCATTTTTTGAGGGAAATCGCCAGTCTGAAACTGAACATGAAAGTGTGTGACGCTATCCCAGGGACCCTATATGTTGTATCTGAAGAAAATGCTGCAATCAATGAGAATCATAGGTTTACTGAACGATTTAATTTCGAATTGGCTTTCAATCTGCCTTTAACTAAATTGTTTAAAGCATATCTATCGGCAACACTGGCGTGACGGGCCGTGTCACGCTATTTTTAACCACTGCAATGTCGCGCGTTTTTTTGCAAAATTAGGGTTGAACTCAACGTCTTGCGGGCCACTTAAAATCGTTTGCCCAGAGATTTGTTTCGATTTTCTAATAGATTGGGGCCTAGTTAAGCATTAGAAAGTCAATTTTCGGAATTTTAAGTTATAGCGCACTGTAAAAATTTGCATTTTTTAATCCCTATAATTTTGAACGGTAGAAATGGTCAATAGGGCCGATTTTTAACAAACCTTTTTGGCCACAAAATTATTACAGCTTTCACAAATTTATCGACTTATAAGAAAGAAAGGGTCATAAAAACTATTCGTGTTTTTCAAAGGCTGCCAAATCGTTGTGGTTTGACGTACGAGTCAATGGAATTTGTGTAAAATTTCGTTTTACCGGAAGTGGATTTTGAGCTCCGAACGGGCAAAATGAGTTTTCTCGAATTTTAACAAAAGAACACGTTATTTGGGAAAACTAACTACAGCATGTTTCATTACTCATTAAGGGTTATCGATGAGCCAAATATGAGCGAAATCAAATTTTGAACTTGTGCCGACCGTGGGTCGATATTTACGGAAAGCCGCTCTTAATAACTGGGCATTTGTTCCATGTTATTGCTATACGGACAACTGTAGATGAGTAGTGATATTGATAAATCAAAAAAAAAGAAAAGCAAAAAAGCGCTGCCAGCCCCCTTAACTTGATCTTGTTATTAGGCTATTTCCGAGTTCCAAATTCTCTCACTTTCAAAACGAGGCTTAGTGCGAAACTTTTCTGGTGAAAATGAGTTTTATCTGCATGAGAATAAAAAATCGTTTTCATATCAATGGCTTTGCACTTAGCCTCGCCTTCAAACAGAGGCTTGGCACAACTCGGAAATGGCCTATTACTATGATGATTGGTGAACCTAGAAGTGTCGCATTTACCTGGCTGAAGAACACCAGCGTAGCATAGTGAAACACTTTGGTTTGACTTGTCGTTTCAACCTCTCTCAGCAGTGCATACAAACACACTGACCAGTGGATAAACATTACGACGCACACACTGCCCAGGACAACTGTTAAAAGCTGGAGAGCAATCGGAGAGGACATTTAACAAATACATAACAATTGTCTACGGCCCACGGTATTCTCTTAATGACCATAGAAATGACATCAAAATGTTTAAACCTCAAGTGGAACCATAGCTCTCGACTAATCAGCGCGCGAGAAAATGAGAGAATGTAAAAAAGACGGTGAACCCATCGGTGCACTACCTCGTCTAGTGTGTTGACTCTGATTATGGATAGGTCGGGTGGGCTTCTTACACGGGAACACGGATACTATCGGGGAGGTCTCCAACATCCAATTATCTGCCTCCCGTAGGGGGAATCAAGGGTAAGCCGGGACGGGATTATGTAAAGCTCCCATGTTCTCCCCAGTAAAATAACAAGAGTTTGCATCCACGGACTCCACCATACATCACCTTACTTAACCCTTTAAGCCCTAAGAGTGATGAGCGACAAATTTCTCCTTGTAATATCAATGCATTATAAAACAGAGTGGTCATGAGAATTAAGGACATGATCACACAAGATGAATCTAATTGATACTTCAACAAATTCTCCCCACTACTTCTTTTGAAAACGTACAGGGATAACAAATGAGAATTTGAATTTTGATGTTAGGGTTTAAAGGGTTAAAAAAGCACGCGAATCGTTAACTTCACGTAAGGTGGATGTCCTTTCTTATAAAGGCCCCTGTTTCCCCTGAGTTGTATTTTGTGATTCACCTTTTGAACCAAAAAAGAAAGAAAACAAAAAGAATAACAAAAGGAAAGGAGGAAAATAACAGAAAAGAGAAGGAAAAAGGAGTCTACAAGACAGGATATATATTTGCGGCCGTGGACACCCAGTTCCATCCAGTTCCTAACCTAGCCTGGTAGGGTTTGACTTGGGTGAGTCCCGATCCTCGCGAGGTTTTGCGAGACACGTATACTTAGTGAACAACCGTTCAATCTGGTAAAACGACGTCCGCCATAAAAAGTGGAAAATAGGGGAAACCCGATGAAAGGTGCATAAAGCAGGAAAAACAGTTTCTAGCGACACTGTGAACTGAACGTTTCTGCTTTTCACTTTCATTTTTCCTTAGTGTTTTCTCCTTTTCCTCTTTTAGTCTAAATATGATTAATAGGATTATCTTAGATTACGAGTAGTCCCCCATTTTTCCTCAGTGATAGTAGAGCGAGCGAAACACGAGCGCGCGTGAAAATCGCCCCAAGCGAGAAAGGCGACTTTTCTCGCGTGGGATGATTTTCACGCGCGCTCGCGTTTCGCTCGCTCTACTATCCCTGAGGACAAATGGGGGACTACTCGTAGTCTAGGATTATCTAATATATTTCAGTATTTACTGTAGCTCTGCCATTGGTTTTTGCACAGGCAGGTACAAAAGTCGGACCGGATCAACTCGGACCGCCAGTCCGGGTCGGATCAACTCGGATCGACTCGGACCAACTCGGATCGAATAAAAAAATAAAAATAAAATAAAACCGGACTCGGATCAACTCGGATCATAAAAAAACAACAACTCGGATTATAAAAAGAAAAATAAAATCAGTCGGTATCTCTCAACTTTCACCCGCCATTTTGTTTTTTTTCTCACGAACTCGTGGTTGCGTAAATTAATTTTTTTAGTTTTGTCAATTTTAATGATACACTAGTGAGCAGCACACATACACTTCCAGTGAACATTTTCAACTTGGAAGGAGGAGAAACCATGCTCGCCCGGGACAAAGAAAATTTTCGTACCCAAGGCGAGCATTGAACTCACGACCCTCCGAATACTACATGAAAATCGGACGTTCCAACCACTGAACCGGAGGGTCGCGAGTTCGATTCGTGCCGTGGGCATGGAAATTTCCTTTGTCCTGGGCGAGCATGGTTTCTCCTCCTTCCAAGTTGAAATTGTTCACTGGAAATGTATGTGTGCTGCTCACTAGTGTATCATTAAAATTAAGTTTCAGAAGTTCTGCAGAAAAAAAAAAAACCAAACAGGAACAAACAAATGATTTTCTCATAAATAATTCAGTAGTCTAATAAATAAGAAAATATATACATTCTAGGCGACTGAAACTATCATTTCTTTACTGTCCAACCACAACCACGAGTTTATAACATGATCCGAGAGGGACTGGCACTAGTAAAACAAAATGGCGCCTGAAAGCCACGGAGAAAAAAAGGATGATCTGGCCTTTTTTTACCCTCCAAATGGGTTAAACTTTCAGTTTTGCTGATTTAATTTAATTTTTTTGATTGCTCCGAGTTGATCCGAGTCCAATTTTATTTTATTTTTATTTTTTTATTCGATCCGAGTTGGTCCGAGTCGATCCGACCCGGACTGGCGGTCCGAGTTGATCCGGTCCGACTTTTGTACCTGCCTGTTTTTGCATGTATAATTCTGTTAATATTTTGTTGTAATAATTTAACTGAGGGAGCCCATTCCTTATAAGCCCCGTGGCTTCCGTTGCCGGGGCTTCCTCGCCATTAGCTTTTTCAATATTTAGATTTTCTTATTTTTTTTTTATCATTATGGCCAAAATTATTCAAAACACAGCCACAGTTTTAAGTTTGTGGAACATGTTTCGATGTTTCAAACATCATCTTCAGCCATACAAGGTATAATACCAATAGCGTAAAACAATGAACTGAACTGAACTGGTACCTGAAATAAGCGCCAGACGTCAGTGAAGTACTTTGTGGACATTTTCAAGGCCAGAAAAAACTCGTGTTGGAGAAGGTAAAGGAGGATAAGAACAAACACCAACTGAAACAAACAAATACAGCAAATATATAAGTCGGGAGAGCCTTTACCATTAAACAAGCTTTAAACCCTTCAAGTCTTATAAGTGTTAAGCATCATATTTCTCCTTGTAATATTCAATACTTTGTGCAACAGAGTGGTCATGAGAATTACTGTCGCGACTTAATTACCTTCTGGTGTTGACAGGTTTACCTAGGATTAGTTTTGAAATTTGAATAGTCGGACATTTGACGTAGTTTAGAAAGAATGCACGTCTTTACGTGGAACCCGAAAGGCAACCAAGATAAGGGTGTGAGCGAGCGAGCGAGATTAAACTGTTTCAATTCAAACAATTCTGAGTTCTTTCGTCGGTGTTACCGATTCCCGACATTACAAAAATGATCGCACAAGATGAATTTCCCTGATGTTTTATCAACTTCTCCCCATTACTTGTTTGGGCAATTGATTTGGGCAACAAGTGAGAATTTCAATTTGGATCTTAATGTTAAAAGGTTTAACTGTTTTCATGTCGTTGATGTTTTGTGTAAAGGACTCAGCATAAACGCAAAAGGACAAAGGTTTCTGGTCAACCTCGACCCAGGACTCTTCCCGCCCATCCAATTTTCTAAGGGTAAAGCCCTGGGGACGAGGATGGTGTCTGGTTGGTAAGGCAGTTTTCTTGTCTAGTACACTGATCCAATCTACCCCCTCCCAAAACCAACGTTTTGCCTTTAAGTAAGAACGAAGTTAGTGTTAACTTTTGATGAGGGAAGGGGTAGGAGGGCAGTTTCCTTGACTAGTACACTGATCCAAGCTACTCCTTCCCTAACCCAAAATTTTGCCTTTGGGTTAGGGGAGGGATAGGTTGGCAGTTTCCTGGTCTAGAACACAGATCCAAGCTAACCCATTCCCTACCTCAACATTTTGCCTTTGAGTAAGAACGAAGTCAGTGTTAACCGAGGGTTAGGGTAGGCGTAGGTGCCAAGCAAACAATAGTTCACAGACCTTTAAAATCCTCACAAAGTAGCCATAATCAGGGGACTTGAAAAACGCTGGGAAGGTGTTCAATTTCAAATGGCATCCTGGTTTCTTGGCGTTAGACGCCTTAACTGAGAGAGTAGCAGCACTATGGAAAAGTAAAAGATAAACAGTCAGCGAAACAAGTCATCGGTGGATCACTTACTTCATAAATTAATATCTCAATCAAACAATCAATCAATCAAAAGGCCTTTTGCAATAGTTGGTCACGTGATCAACTTTCAGTAAACGAGAAAACAATTCTTTTCGGAAAAATAATTTTTGCAGGAACTGAAAAAGCAAACAAAATGTTGACAACCTGTAAATTTTCAGCTGTATATCTCTAAAGTAGCGATCGCAACGGTCGTCGAAAATTGGAAGGATTTGTCTGGGAAAATAACTCTTGCTGCCCAGTCACGGTTGAGTGGTTTTCCGTACAAATCCTTGTAAATTATGAAATTTTCAAAGTATCGTTAAATCTTTCGATTACGAATTACAGGGCTCAAATTGCGTTATAAACAAAAGACAATTTAAGCCCCGTAATGCTTAAGGAAACACTTTACAACAGTTTGAAAATTTTAAAATTTACAAGGATTTGTATGGAAAACCACTCAGCCGTAAATGGGTGAAAAGAGTTGTTGATCCCGTGAATAGCTACTACAAAAGGCGTATCAATTGTTGAAAGCGTTAACTGTACCCTAAAAGAATCCAACTCCAATTGAGAACTCTTTAAACGCTCAACATTTCGGTCGTCTTGGCCTCACTCAGGAGCATTACAACTGTTGAATTTCAGCCAGCCAGCCAGTCAGTCAATCAGTCAGTCAGTCAGTCAGTCAGTCAGCAGCCAGTCAAACAGTCAGTCATTCAGTCAGTTAGTTGGTTAGTCAGTCAGTCAGTCAGTCAGTCAGTAAGTCAGTCAGTCAGTCAGTCAGTCAGTCAATCAGACAGTCAAGTCGGCCAGTCAAACAGTCAGTCAATCAGTCAGTAAGTCTGTTAATCAGTCAGTCAGTTGGTCAGTCAGCCAGTCAGTCAGTCAGTCAATCAGTCAGTCAACCAGCCAGACAGTCAGTCAGTTAGTCTTTTAGTCAGTCTGTCAGTCGGTCAGTCAGTCTATCAACCAATTATTATACAGTGAAACCTGTATTAAGCGGACTCCCTCTATTAAGCGGACAGTAGCCGAGGTCCCCAAATTTATTTCCCTTATTTATTTTAAATGAAACCTTTATTAAGCGGACACCTCTATTAAGCGGACGCGGACACCTAAAAAGTACCTGAAATGGTCATTTCTATTGTTGCCAACCTGTATTAAACGGACACTTGTAATTAAATTCCACCACCCAACATGCCAGACACCGGAAATGCGAAAGATTTCCACCCACAAATTTCTCGATTTTTACAACAGAAAACGTGACTTGACGAACTTATTTGATTAGTTTCACAGTACACTATTGTATTCTATTAGTTTCTATAGAGCTTGTTTCACTCATCCGAGTTCTTCAAATTTGAGTTGCAATCTATGTTTATGGTACTATGATCAATTGGTCCTCTTTAATAAAGAAATTAATGCAAACGTATATCGTCATAGTCTCTGGGAGTATTCTAAACGTTTCCACTGTTCATTTGAATGGCATTTGACACCTCATATGACGTTATCTATCGAAACCTGTATTAGGCGGACACCCTGTATTAAGCGGACACTACAGCATTCCCCGAGGGTGTCCGCTTAATACAGGTTTCACTGTATTAATCTCTTCGATAACCAATCGAACAATCCGACGGTGGCTTATTTGCTACTGAGGTTTGCTAATGAAATTTGGAACATTCTTCGGAGTTTGAACTGATTAACCCTTTACTGGCAGCTATAGAGTCACGGCAAGCTACAGGCCATAACGACAAAACACGCCATTAATGTTGGAAATCTGTCCTTTGGAGTTAACTGCCGCAACTGCTCACCGCCTTTTTTCCTACCCTATTCAGTGTTGGCTTACCTGATGGCTCGTAAAAACGGAGTATAAACAGTAAACTCAACAGTAAATTCCCTTGTACATTCATTTATCCATTGTGAATTTGCAATCTCTTCAAGCTGCTGCACAGATTCGTTTCTGAAGAAAGTGGATTCAGTTAACAGCAAGCTACAATTTTGTAAAACAAAACTGAATGAAAGACTGCAATACGGCAAAGGGCTGATTATTTCGGCTAAGCCCATATTAGCCTTCCTCAGGGCCAGAGCTACACTGATAGGGAATACTATAAGGGCTCCTAAAATTTGCCCTTTGTCGTATTGCCAGCCTTCCTTTTAGCTTTGTTTTACTTCGAGCTTCAAGTGACCGCTAGCACTAGCATCTCTACATTAGAGATCCGACAAGAAAGAACCAGTCGGTTTTATTTACGAGTTGAGTGGACCTCTGCATTCAACGGTTTTTACAATTTTGCAAATTAGGACGTCCACCCCAAATGTGTTTTTCTTCATTTTATGTACACTGAAAATGAAACCTTTAAATTCTAAGAGGGGGACGACTACGAGAACGAGATTTCCTCAATGCTAAGTCAGCGTTATTTTGGCGGGAAAACGTGATAGCCGTCTTCATTCTACTACGGGTTTTAGTGATGGTGACGTAAATAATTGATTATAAAACATAAGACGTTTTATCATTTTGCGATCGTGAGAGGGCTTAACCTCTTTCGATAAAAAAAAAAACTGCTAATTTTTCAGATGAAAAAAACTGATTACCATGATGTACGCGATAAACCTTACGTCAAACCTCGTCCTGGTAATCGTTCTCGTCCTCGAATCTTAAGTTCTCAAAATAAGATGAAAACCTGGGCCCGGTTGCATAAAACGTCCGTAACAACTACGGGTACACGTACGTGCACTCGTAACTTAAGTCAGTTGCATGAAATCACTTAAGTGGTCCACTTAGGGAATTCACTTAAGTGGTTGCACTTACGATTTTCGTAAGTGTTCACTTAAGTGTCGTTTATGCAACAGAAATTGCGGGTGTTGCATAAAACTTTTTTTACGGGAAAAATAGCACGTAAATTTACGGGACCTATGTGGGTCCCGTATCGTTACTGTTTTTACTAAAGTTAACGAGATCTTTTACTGAGAAGTAAAAAAAGTATTTTTCTTCACGTAATTCGTTCTAATGCGCTTTGTTAACCTCTGATGTACACTTTTGTGAAAAAAGAAGACGAACTATCATTTCCAGTAGATATTGAAGAAAAATAACGTTTGCATGCAGATTTCATTTTTTGAGAGGCTTAAAAGCGTTCGAAACGACTTTTAACTTTCTTTACACTCACCGATGGTTAACTTAATTTAAAAAAGTAGAGTGAGTCAAATTAATAATTAAAAGTACTATAACAAAGTTACGTGTGCCCTTAAGTGAGCCCGTAAGTTACCACGTAAAACAGAAACTTACGAGAGTGCTAAGTGTGTTCCATGCAACACCCGTAAGTGTACCCATAACGGATTCGTAAGTGACCTACTTAAGAGCGGATGTCAGTAAATATCGACCAGAGGTCTACAAAAGTGAAAAATCGAAAATTCTCAAAAAAATTCACAAAGTAGCACTAGGTAAGCTATTAACCTAAATGTAATTTTTACTTCGATCCGATAATTATTTTCCACGTACAGGGGGGTTATTGGTTTCGCGGCTCTCGGAGCGGGTTTTCCAGGCCCGAGACCATGTGTCACAAAAAAATCGTTTTAAAATTCAAATCCATTGTAATGCGGACAACAAATAACTTATTCAGAAGAGTACATAATTGCACACATTTTAAGTGGTGATTTACTCAGTTTGAAAGAAAATGTAATATTTTGGAGATTTTTCATTATTTTCAATATTTTGAACGTTTTCGTTCAATGAAAAAATGGCAAATTTCAAAGCCTCAAATCGTCGACTGGTACCTCGATTTCAGTAACGAGTCTTATACCAAGTTAAAGAGCGTTATCTCTTCTTTCGAAACCTGTTTTCAAAACTACGGGCAACTGAAAAGAAAATTTTTGAGGCCAAAACAGAAGCAGTACTTTTCTGAAATTTGAGCTTTCCAGACTCTGCGGACCGAAGCTAAAAACTCAGCAAAATGCAATAAGAAATCAGTTTGAGCAACAGTGGTTTAACGTTATCAGCTATCAGAACAAACACGTGTTTATCGAGCGATCTGATAAAATTTAAAGCCGTTTTCCAACAAGAAAAGCAGAGTTTAGCCATCTTCTGCTACCAAACGCACGAGTCACGTAAGGTTGTCAAAAGGCAAAGCACAGTAATAAACTTCAAAAAGCACAACGTTTCTGCGTCCAGGAATTAGACTTTAGTGGACAGAACAATGCCTACGAGTGTATGTTTCATACCTTAGCATGGGTCTCCTAGATATTGGAAGTAAAAAACATCAAGCACAGCATCGGCAAGAGCGTCTTCGGCTGCTCTCAAACGACGGAGATTGCGTTACTTTTCACAGATTGACCGCTTACCACCTGTTTTTGGGCTCGCATTTCGACGGATCTGAACTCTTCTTCACGAGACATTGAACTGAATTTATCGGAAATATGCCACCACCAACAACAACACGAGCTTTTTTCGGGTATTTGTCGTTTTTTATACGAAAAGTTCGGGTAAGCAGATTCACGCAAAAACCGTTTGGCTTAAAAAATGTGTTTAAAAGCCCACCCTGGATTTGAAGCAAAAAGTATTTCCTCGAAATAAGCTAAAAAGTACCCAATTCACGCGGTGAAAAAATGGATGATTATGGAAGGATTATCGAATTCTTGCCTAACCTGAGGGATTTCCCAATTTCCCGTGATGTAGGATTAGGGGTAAGAAAAAAGCCCATAACCTGCTCCTGTCGTTGTAAATTTCCTCAAGATCAAAAATTTCAGTAAGAACCGAAAAAAAAAAACCGCTTAAAGGAGGTGCACACACCTTGACCTAGCCAGGGAAAAGGGGCTTCTGATTGAGCTAAACTGTCATTGATGCACGGTGCAATTAGTTAGACCTGTTACTATCCCCCGCGCAACCACAGGAAAAAGTCCAGCCATTTGGGCCCGGGGGTGGGGAGTACTTTGAAGCGGTCCTGTCGGGGAGTTTCGGGGGTAGGGGGCGGGGAAAATCGAAAACAACTTCTCTTTGTTTTTGTGAAGTACATCATTTCTCGCACGGTTGACAAGGTGACGGCGGACTCCATAGCTGTGGAAAGGCCCTTTTGAAACATGTGGCGGCAACATGCAGGGCATCACGAAATTGACGTCAACACCTTGAATCAACTCCATGAACAGGGAGAGGCGATAAGTCCCATCTTAAAAGATGCTTGATGACTAGACGCGAATAGTCTGTCCGCAGTCATTTTTCATTTTGTATATCGGGACCATTTGATAGCGCACGAGTGAACCGGAGCGCAGTAACGAGCCCTAACCCCACCCAATTGCCCTTGCGGTCAATAAATCATCGCGTTTTTCATTTTTTTTTATGCGCGTTCGAGAGCCTCCAAAGGGAATATTGAGCGTCTTTGTACAGTTTCAGTTTATTTTACCGACAAAAAAGAACAAAACAAAGCAAAAGACAAGTATACAGAAATATACAGAAGCAATGTGGTGGGGAAGCCCAAAAAGAAACCGTAAGGCTTAGGTCATCCCCTTTTCGTTCGTTTAGCGTTGAATAGGTTTCCTGGCTTTGGGTGGGTCGGTCGGTGGGGTGAAAAAAAAATCATAAGAAATCTGAGAACAGGAGGCCTGAAACACCAGCATCACTGCCGTGGAGCCTGAAAACAACAAGACATGGTCACCAAATCGACACAAACTCAATATTGCGGAAAATGTGATGGTCAATTTCATAAAAAAAGGCCCAAAAAGGGTAAAAAGCAAAAAGGATACACCACCGAACGTTTTATGCCTGGAAATGCTGTTATAATGCTCATTTCTTAGATTAAAAGAATTAATTTAAGTCCAAAAAAATAAACCTTGTCGTTTCTTTTTCTTGCTTTTTTAAAAAAATGCCAAAAAACTGGGTCTGTTGGACAACACTAAACGAAGAAAAAATTAATATAGGTATTAAGCTCCCTTGAAGTATAAAAGTATAAGTTTACAAGGACAGGATCGAACGTATACTGAGTAACTAAAAGATAAAAATTTGATCAAAATTAAATGAAAGGCTAAGAGTCTAAGTGCTGTCTGATAACGCAACAAGAAGTGCTGCCTGTCATTTAATAGAGACGTGAAATACTGGGTAGACCACATCCTGAACTCCTTCGAAAACCGGAAGAGAGGAACGCTCAGGGTTAAGGAGACTAAACAGGGGCGTAGCTACTTGTATGCACGGTTCGCACGTGTGTACCCGAAAACGTTGAGGAGAAAAAATAGGATGAAATAAACATAACTAAAAAAAATCAGTTTCCAGAGAAGCGAGGACATTAATTGGAGAACCGAACCTTGGATGCTTTATTTATATAGCAAGCTTGATGATGTAAAGCGTGAACGCGTTGTTTTCTCCACGACCTGTCTTCGGAGTAGACGAAGTAGGGCACAATTACGTCAATGTGTGGTGCTTTCGTCCGTCAAAAATAATGTGACAAAAAAGGGTAAAGGGTCATTTGTAAACTAAAGTCGGAGGTACTACAAGCTTGATTTTTAATAGCTGAATTAATGATAAACGGTTGACGTCAATGAACATAACAAGCCGACAGAATTAAAGAATTTTAGAGGTTGTGTCATTTCATAAACAGCAAAAATGCTTTTACTTACAACCGTTAACCCCACCTTTAATATAGGCACCTTAAAAAATGTTGAGATTTGGGGTGGGGGGAGGGGGGGGAGACGATGTAGAAAAAGTTGGGTGTACCTCCGGAAAAATCCTGACTACGCACCTGCTAAATCCTGAAACTGAACAACAGGCGTCCTCAGTTATCATCTGTCCGGGGTCGTACTTTCAAGGAAGCGCTGATCAAGAATCACTCATGACGGAATGAAAACTCCTCGTAGCTTCCAGCGAAAAAAGGAGTGACAACAGTGGTAAGCGGTCGTTCTGTGAAATGTAACGCAATCTCTGCCGTTTACGATCTTTCGGCGCTTGGATTTAAAACGTTGTTGTTTGGTATGTTCTCCTGTGAGTGTGTGGATACTTGACCTTTCCAATATATGGAAACACCATGCTAAGGTACGAACAACAGACATTCACAACATTGTTTTGTACGCTAAAATCTGCTTTCATGGACGCAAAACGTTTTGAATTTTAAGACTTTTTAATATTAGTGCTTTGCCCTCCCTTTGACAACTTCACGTGACTGGTGCACTTGGCAGGAGTTGACAGCTTAAATCTGCCTTTCTTGATAGCAAACAGCATTAATTTATATCAGATCGCTGTATAAACACGTCTTGGTTTCTGAAAGCTGATAACTTGAAACCACTGTTTCTCAAACTGATTTCTTATTGTATTTTTCCGAGTTTTTAGCATCGGCCCGCCGAGTCTCAGGGGAGTCTGGAAAGCTCAAATTTCAGAAAAGTACTACTTGTATTTTTTGGCCTCAAAAATTTTCTTTTCAGTTGCCCGCAGTTTTGAAAACAGATTTTGAAAGAAGAGATAACGCTCTTTAACTTGGTATAAGACTCGTTACTGAAATCGAGGTACCAGTCGACGATTTGGGGCTTTGAAATTTGCCATTTTTTCATTGAACGAAAACGTTCAAAATATTGAAAATAATGAAAAATCTCCAAAATATTACATTTTCTTTCAAACTGAGTAAATCACCACTTAAAATGTGTGCAATTATGTACTCTTCTGAATAAGTTATTTGTTGTCCGCATTACAATGGATTTGAATTTTAAAACGATTTTTTTGTGACACATGGTCTCGGGCCTGGAAAACCCGCTCCGAGAGCCGCGAAACCAATAACCCCCCCGTACGTGGAAAATAATTATCGGATCGAAGTAAAAACTATATTTATGTTAATAGCTTACCTAGTGCTACTTTGCGAATTTTTTTGAGAATTTTCGATTTTTCACTTTTGTAGACCTGTGGTCGATATTTACTGACATCCGCTCTTAAGTGAGCACTTAAGTGCAGGTTTTATGCAACCGGGCCCTGGAGGACAATAGAAACCTGAGGTTTTCAAAAAACGCTCTCGAAAATCAGTGAAGTCTTTTAAAAAAGATCTAACGCTTTACAAAGGACGACCAAAAACAAACGTTTTCTTAAACGCATGTTTCCGCTTTCAATGAATGAAAAATTCATGGTCAAAAAGGAGGGACCTCTCCCTGCAGAAGTCGACCACATTGCAGGGGGGGATAGAACACGCAAAGCCTTCTGGTAGATCCGTGCCCGCTTGTTTTTCGACATAGACGAGACTTTTTTTAATTTGGCTACAGGCAGCTCAATGAAAAGCAAGTATGGGGGAAATTAAGAACGGCATAGGTTATCGTACAAGGTCTCAAACTTCCTACGTCAAAATAATCTTGGGTTTTTTGCATGATTGTGTGTCAAACGTACCTAGTCTGATTGAGTTCCAGGTTCATCCAAGTGCCTTCATCTGCGTGACACTTGTTGTGACACAGAGTTGTGTTGTTTTCTTTAACGGTGGTGTTACTTTTCACGTTCGCGGACTGATTGGCACTGATTGCTCTATTTTCACACACCTGATGAAACAAAAATGGGTGTTAATTCAAATGCGAGGATGGTTGTAGCCTGTACACAGACGTTGTTTTATTTTTCTTTTCGTGCTTTTGGGAAACATCGGCGTGCGCGACAGCGAGGGAACCCCTAGCCCTTTGCGCTGGCGGTCAATAAATCCCCCGCGGTTTATTTTTTATCATGCGCTCTCGACGGACTTTGAGGATAAAATAGAAGGTCTGTGAACAGGCTAAGATGGTCGTAATTAAGGGCCTGGTCACATGGAAGTGGAGGATCCAGGTCGGTGAAATAACCCGCTTAGGTGGGGTAGCCCACCTGTGCGTTTAATCTCTTATTGTAATTTAATCACGTTTACATGATAGGTGGGGTGACCATATGAGAGACTATATGGACAGACGCGTACCCAACTTAAGCGCATTACCTCACTTACCCGTCCCCCACCTTCATGCAAACACACCCTTCGTCAGTATTTCGCCCGATTTTCGCGATTGTCAAAAAATCGAGAGAATAGAGTCCCGCGAAAAGAGGCTACGAGAAGGTTTGGGACTTAAGACCTGACTGAAAACATTAACGGTGCTATTCAGAAATATTGCTACATGTTTTTTTTTTGAGAGACTGCAAATTCCGTATGAGAAATACAATAGGTTAGAACGCTTTACTTTTGCAAAAAATGGACAATGTGTTAGCCTTATTTTGTTATTGCTCTTTACGATACTCGTGAACTGCGTGACAAACGACCATACCTTCACTGAGGCGAACTTGTATTGCGTGATCTTGGTAGGACCAAACAAGAGGCTTTGACTGCCAGGCAGCAAAATCTAAGAAAAGGAAAACGGAGAATACAGTTTATCTCTCAGGTATTTCATAGTACATGAATTAAAAAGGTCATAAGAATCGATAAAATGATAATCAAAAGGGAAATTTTTGATCTTAAATGTCAAATTCTCCAACTTTTTTTCCAAGGAAATGTATGGAGATTAGTACAATAAATGTTACCGAGAATGGTGTGTGCGTTGAGGCAGCTTTGTTCTCGTTAAACACATCAGAAATCTCTTTCCAGGCATCTTTGACGCTAGCAGGTCCAGTCCATGGATTTTCTGATCTAAAAATTAGAGATAAACCAATGATTAGCTCTTAGACTTTTCAATGTGTCGAATGGCACACTAACAGAGTGTTTAAATAGAGAAGTGTGGCGTAAAAAAAAGTCAAATTTGTGAAATTACTGGGGAAGTTGACACATTCTCCTAAATGAAATCCAAACGATGTTCTCACAACTTGCAAAGTGATCATCAGGGCTCTTGCCAGCGGATTTGTGTACACGTCATGCGCATCACGTCATAAACCACAAACGCAAAGATCGGTTTTGAGAGAGAGCAAAAACATGGCAGTCGAAGGCGGGACTGTTTCTCACTATTATATTTTGGTAATTCGCAAATTTATAGATTTTATGCCGCTTTTCAGACATACTGTGTGGTTCGCGTTTTCTTTTAATCAATTTTCCTCTGCAGAATTTGAAATATGAAACATGTAGTTGCATCTAGCCAACAAGAACCGCCGAAGCTATCGAATACAGTAGTGTTTTGCTGCAAACCTAAGGAAAGCTAAGGTCGCTTCCCGGTACAGAGTAGGCAATAGCTGCATTTACTGGGCTGCCTGTGGGGCAAGCCCAGTCCTTATTTCGGTTTTCGGTCGTCTCCGCAGGAAAACGTACAGCCGGGGAAGGGAAGACACGAGGTCTGGTGCCAAGAAACGATTTTCTCACGACTGCTTTCATACGATTTTCCCTTGCATGGATATTTTTTGTACCACGCCCTCGCCCCCCAGAAACCCAGCAGGCGTTGCGAATCACGTTGTTCGGAGCGATTTGATCATATCACGGACCATCGAAAGGAGTCACTTTGTAAGTTTTGTCACTGTTCGAATTTAAGTCATTTAATGATATGTTGGCACTGGAAAACCGAATCAGGGAAATGCTTAGGGCCGTTCACGGTTAAGGTCCACACTAAAAGATGAGTGTGAGTGTCAGTTTTGGAACGGGCCCTTCCGTGAACTCGAAGAGAGAATTAGTGATGTAGTAGATAAGTAACAGAGAGGAGAAGTGTGACGTCACGTTACCATGGTAGCAAAATTTTTGGATCTCAACAAAACGGAGTTTTTGCAACGGCGAAGGCAAACAGCGAAAAAGCAATAGGTTTAGATTGGTAAAAAACAACTTTGCACCTGCATCACACTTTTTTGTACATTTCGTAGTCGTTGTTGTACGACTGCGACATGAAATTTCCTAATTTCATGCGCCCGCTTTATGGAGTAGGTGAGTACAACACAAAAAGTTTCTTTTTCTTTTTCTAAACTTAGATATGGTCCTTTCGGATTTAACCCAGAAAATTTCGTCAACATTTGACAAATTAAATGAAATTAAATAAGACTGATGAAGTTTGAAACAGTGCGAATCCACGTTTTAAGTGACATTTTGGTTTGTTGTCATCCAAAAATTTTGCTACCATGGAAACGCGACGTAACGTCTTCTCCTCTCTATTAATGAGCACAATTTATGAGCATAGTATTATACTATATTATATAATTGACGACACTATGGCTGAAGACATGATTGTAAGCTGTTGTACTGAAGCGAACAACTCAGTTGGCGAGGAATGTCAAATGAATCGTTAGGGTAATGTTAAGAAATGGACGTCCACTCTTTTTGAGAAAGCGAGGTGACAACTTCGCCATGTAAGAAGACTGGCTTTTCAATGCAATATTTCCTTCTATTTAATGCAACACATGCCAACTTTGGAGGTCTTTTTGGACATGCCAATCTATCACATAATTTCACAAATTTAGTTTTTGTGACGTCATCACTACTCTTCTCAATATAGACTCGATGGACGAACAACTATCTTAGTGAAGGGAAGTCGGGGTGAATCATTAAGCTTCAGTCTTTGAACGATTCTTAGAAAAGTCCTCTTGAAATCCTCACCACTAAAGAACCTATTTATTTTCCCTTGTGTTTGCTTTGTGAGTACATTTCTCTGTGTTTGTATTCATTCTACCCTTCACTCTCCTACCCACCTTTTTTTATCATTGTCATGCAACGCTTAGCCTGCGAGCCGGCTCACTTGCGCGAGTTCGGGGAACAGTTTTGGAGGCGGAGCCGTCACCTCGCATGCTACGCAACGCTCTTTCCAACTCCCCCCTCCTCCCTGAAGAGGAGCGTTGCGTGACGACACTAAAAACGGCTGCGAAGGAGAGTTCTCTCTGACCGACTAACCGACTGAGTATTTGAACTCTCTGATTGGCTGTTTGTGCAGTTGACTGACAGTTTGTTCATATCCTACCTTAGGAATACATTCTTGATAGACTGATTCAGGTGATACATATCTGCACTTGTCACACTTGCTACTAACAACGACGTGACCACCAGGAACGAAATAAAAACCAACAGCTCTCTAAAAGACAAAATTTAAGCAAAGGAGCATTACTTTACAAAAGCAAGTTAGGCGCATTTTAGTGGCATTGCAATAAACACTAGTAACAATACACGGGGTTTTTAATACGAGATTATGCAGGGGTTACCCTTGAACTTGAAGGTCTGTTGTGACGTGTTTACCCCAGCCATATGGCTGACGTATTTTTTGTGTAGATGTCAAACTGTTCCATGTCCTCAGCAAGATATAAAGAGCGAGCACGTTGCATTTTGAACAGGTTAAAAGAGACCTCGAGCTTTGAGGACGAAGACGACAACGAGTACGAGATTTGACTTAAAGTTTTTTCGCGTATTCTCAAAATATAGACTTCCCGGAAAGCTTTATTTTACCTTTTTTCAGTAGAAAAGTTAGCACTGTTATCCGTAGTGACGCAAGTTACACGCTCTCCTGATTACAAAAATGATAAGACTTCTAACATTTGATATCTTGTTCTCGCCACCACGACATTCGCCCTAAAACTCGTAGAATGACGACGGCTACCACGTTTTCCCGCCAAAATGACGCTGGTTCACGCGCGAGCACTACTTAGTATTAAAAAATTTCGTACTCGTTTTAGAATCTGAAGGTCTCTAATACTGGTCAATACCCAACGACTTCGATGCAAAATTTCCACAAACTTACACAGTGTAGTTCCATAGTGCTTTTTTCCGAATACAAGTTTCCCTTGCTTCCGAGAGCTTGGACTCAGAAGGAGGCTTCAAAAACTTGAGATAACGCAACCTTTTCCGAATTGCAAGCGCCTAAAAGAAAGAGGAAAAATACACGAGGATGATCATCAGTCATGTAAGACAAGTAACATGCTCTGCCATGGAGTCAAAACTGAGCTGAAATCAACACATTACCACCAAGCTTCAATTATAGGAGCATCGGGTTTTCTATGGGAAACCGCAGAGCAAAAACTGCAGTTTGCATTAACGCGTTTGTTGTATCACGTTACCGGGATTTAAAATTTTAGTAAGGCGTTTTTTGTTCAGTGCCGCCATGATGTTCTTCGTCAAGTCGAAGTGCGACACTTTTATCGCCTAAAATGCATGAATAATTCATTGATTCGAGTTCAAAAATCTAACTAGCACATCGCAGGGGGATATAGAAAGCTAATTCGTGCCTTTAAACGTGAGGCTGTACAATTCTTAGTAGCAAAAAACCTTGCGTAAGTCAATTACCGCTGGAAGCCCTTCCTGCCGTTCAAACGTGAACTGCAAACTGTAAACGCGACCACAAGGCCGTGGGCACGTGACATTCTCAGGTTTGCGGTTTCCCATGAAAAAGTTGATCCTAAAGGGCTCTTATTCGAGCTCAACTACTCCTACAGGGGTGCGGTGCTGTGGAATAACCTCCCACCCCGCACAGTTTTAAAGCGGGTTATACTAGCCAATTTTTATCTTATAGTTAAGTTTTTGTTTAGTTACAGGCACGGCTCTCATAGAAGAGAAGTATGAGGCACAAGCCGACGAAATTAGGAAGAACATATCAATCGCCAAGGCTGAGATGGAAAGGTTAAAGACAAACAACAAAATCAACAAAGAAAGGAAAGAAAAATCGAGCAAAGCTATTAGCAGTTTGCAAACGGCTATCTGTCTGTAAAGGAACTTGCTAGAGAGAAGAGTGCCACCATGTTACGAAGAATGCACAGATCCGTCATATCGAGTACACTAAATATTGCGCGCAGTTTCTAAATTCTTGCTTTAACAAAGAGGATTGTTGCTGAAGTGTTCTTGTTTTGGGAAAAAAAATTATTGAAACTTTTAGTATGATTTTGCCATAGATCTTCAGCTAAGTAGAATGGTGGACAAAATTTTAGGACAAACAGAAACATTTTTCGTTTTTTCTTTTTAGCGTTTTAATATTTTAGAAGAGCCGGCTATACTATTCCTAATATTTCAATTTTTACATAAGAAAGACTTCACGACGCGTGGGTTGGTTACGGTCAGACGCCCAACTTCTGTGTTTTCTACCAAAACTGGGCATCCAGACGTGTAAAGCTGCCCCAATAATAGCAGATGGTGGTCCCAGGCTTAAGTTAACCTCTGTCGCGGCTGCGAAAGGCAATAGACAGGGTCACATACATTATCTAACAATTTTTAGTAAAATCCAACTAGTGGTCTATTATCAATGCTGCGTTCTGATTGGTTGAGCTACTACTAGGCTATACATTATAGCCCACTAGTAGCGAAAAGCGGCGGCTGTTTGGCGACAAAAAAGGATGAAAGTCTAGCTTTAACTGGCTAAAGTTGTTTTGCCTCGATACTTTTTTTTACCAACTAGTTGGATTTTACTAAAACAATTAATCCTCTCGCCCTCATGGCATCTGAGTCAATAGCCCATTCGGCTTCGGCGTCATGGGCTATTGACTCAGAGCCCATTCGGGCTCGAGGAATACTTGTTAAATATCTCCAGCAGTAAATTTCAGTTACTTACTGGGTCTAAATCGTTTTCTGATCTGCTGGATTCGTCCTTAAATCCTTCATTTACGTGTCCATAGTGTATTTCGTGCAGAGCGGATGTTGACAAATCCTCGAAGCCTTCATCTGATTCTTCCTCTTTTCGCACTTGTGATCGACGTGCCATTAACAAAATAAACAGCAAAACCTACCAAAGATCGAAAAAGCGTTAGGGTCTTTAAGATCCAACGACGCGAAGGCAACGAGAACGTTTAAATAACAATAGGTTTAATAAGCAAAACAACAACTTCGCAAATGCGTCACAATTTTTTGTACATTTCTTTGCCGTTTTTGCACGACTACGACGTGAAAATGCATAATTTTGCGTTTTGTGGAGAACGCAAACAACCAACGACGAAATATATATGTCTCTTTCTGAACTTGGATATGGTCCCTTGGAATTCAAGTTCAGGAGGGTTCGCTTACATTTGGCAAACTAGGTGGGTAGAAGTAATCGCGCGATAAAGACTGAAAGAACGCAAATTCACTTTTTAAGCGACGTTCTCGTTGCCGTCGCTTCGTTGGATCTTAAAGTCCCTATTCTCTGTCTCAAAAACGAGACGACGATTTTGGTCTTGCAAAATGTACAGTTTGAGTCATTATTACTTGCTGTGAGGACATTTACGGTCGTAACTGCATTTAAAAAAGTAACAATGAACACTTCCACCCATAAGTTCTCATTATCGCCTTTAAGATTAAAAGTTCTTTTTTTTTTGTTGTCTAGAAAAAACAACCTCGACCGCGTTTCCCCATATTGGCAGATTTTATCAGTTGTTTGCACACCCCTCCCTCCGAAAAACCACGTGACGTTGCTTTTATCCTATCAGTCCGTAAGCGTGTGTAAGATGGCGGGTATCGTGAATAACGTCTATTGGAGAGAAAGACCTAAACGATAGATTGCCCATGTTTTCAACGCTTATTCAGTTCATCCAAATTTTAATCAACAGATCAAACTTGACTTGAAGAATCTGCTAGTATTCATTCAGTCAAGCATTGAAACCACATAGCTGTTTTCAGTAAGAAAACTGAAGCGGCGATCGCTTTGTGATTGGATCACAAATCTCAAGCCATATTATTGACCAATCAGTGTAAAGACCAAAAACAATCCGCACACGTTTTCCCGCGCTTTTCGTTACTGGCTTCCTGCATTTACTTTGAGGTTCATTTTGGGATTGCTTGTTCTGTCATTAACCATAGCGAAGATAAAACATGTTCAGTTTTTTTGTCACACACACAAGCAAATGTTTCCTTGTCAAGGAAGCTTGCTCGTGTAATTGGGACTTCAGGTTTTTCACCACTCAGAAGAAAACCGCCATCGTATGAAGTAAAGAATTCAAGAAAACAATTAAGAGTACCATGATCGGTTGAGAAATAAGGATTGACTCCAGTAGGGAGAAACACAAAGACTGCAACCATTGAATGGACATGTCCGGACCAAAACTGCAAGAAAGAGGAAAAAAAAAACACATTGCTGGTTTGCAGGTGACGTCACGGCGGCAATGTTGGTGGTCAAGAACAAAAGCATTTCTCTTCTCTGGGAACTAAACTCTATTTTCATGTAAATGCTTCGAGAAAAAAAATTCTATCGTATTGACCCCCAACATGGCCGCCTTGTCACGTGGTTGCAAACCAAGAATAAGGATCATCTACCACCAAGACCAGGACTTCGAAGGACAATAAATCCTCAGTAATACTTTTAGGGCATATAAACGCTCAGTAATTCTCGTGGCCAAAATTGTGTGCTGTTCTTTTTCATTTTACGACAGAGGAAGACTGGAGAGACTAGAGAATGACGTCAGAGCGGTGGTCTACCTATGTAAATCATCAACTACTGTGTATTACGACACTATCGGTTAAAAAGTTGTCGAAAATTGAAAAAGGGGAAAATAAATAAGAATCTTGACAAAATCTTAGTATGGATTCTTTACAGATTAGCGTGTACAATCAAATGGTGACGAGTGAAGTTAGGGAATAATTTCACGAGCGTTTTGTCCAAATTAGGATTTGTGGGTTTTCGGCATGTTTATTGTACCGATCGAGAATTCTAAGCACTGAAAAGATTACAGCTTTAATTTTGGCTCAAGTCCATAATTTTCAGAAGTTTTCGACAAAGTACCTGATAGAATCCTTCTTGATGTGCTCTTTCGTGTGTTTAGGTTTTCTGAAGGGTCTGTTAACGCCGTGACATCTTAATTCATAACATTTTAAATCCTTGAAGCCATCTTGACTTGGCCAAGAGACGTACTGAACGTTACCAAAGCAATTTTGTAAATAATGAGAAATTCGCGACTAATTTCGTAATAGTGATCGGTTGATAATAGGGACCTACGGCGGTCGGAAGTAAAAAAGCCCAAAAACGACGCAGTGCGCATTCTTGGAACTGATCTTTCGCCGTAACGCCAAATCCTAGAACGTGAAGACCTATTTTTTACCATCACTGGATTTAAAACCTATCATAGATTGTTTTTCTCTTTATGAAGAAAGTATTTGACGCTTCTGGTTTTCCAGTAATTACAGTACGTCTTCCCTACGTTTTACTAACAGCGAAAGTAAATGCCAGGGGAAACCATGCCGTCACTGTTTGGGTGCGCTACCTTAAAGTTGAAATTTGCCGGGCTACGGTGACGTACTTTCTCCAGGACTCTGCATCCATGACTGCCGTTGTAGTGGTCGCCGTAGCGGTTTGCTTTAAGTCCCTAGTATCATGTAAATTCTTCACTTACCTTAGACCAAACCATATAGTGAGCCAGCCAGCAATACCGCCTGTCATTAGACAACCGAACCAAGCTACGTAGTTACAGACATGCGGCAGATTGAACCGCGAATAGTACGGCCCCCTGCCCTCCGACGCTGTTGTCGACACGCAGACGCTGACAACGCTTTGTTTTTCCAAGTCCACGGACAGCTTTTTTCTAGGGGGTGCCAGGGCAGCGAGGAAATCAACCGTCTCGGTGAGGCCGGCGCTTGTAATTTGCAAATGTGGATCCGAGCTTAAGCTGTCGTTTCCTGTGTTGTAGCCGAGGCTTATTCCATCTGTTACAGAAAACGAATTCGTTAAACAAACCGATCAAAATTTTCCAAAGGATCAGAGAAATGACGTTAAATTATTCACATCTTAACCCTTTAAACCCTAAGATCAAAATGTGAATTCTCATTTGTTGCCCCTATTCATTTCTTACAGAAGTAGTGGGGAGAAGTTGATAAAATATCAAGCAAATTCATCTTGTGTGATCATGTCCGTAATTCTCATGATCACTCTGTTTTACAAAGCACTGATATTACAAGGAGAAATTTGATGCTGATCACTCTTAGGGTTAAAGGGGCTCTGTCATAGCTGTCTAGTTCATTTTGTTGACAATGCTAGTTATGCTTCCCTACTCGCTTTAAACCTTGAGAAGTTACCTGTGATGGACTGGAAATAACAAAGTCACAGCTTTGTGCCAAACAAAATGTCTCCCAAGCATTATATCAATATATCAATAGTTACAAACAACACGAATGAACTTTGAAAAACTGTTAGGCTCACAAGTTTTCAAAAACCACAATTACAATCCGTTTCAATCTTCTTTACGTTTGTCTATCAATGCTTCCTTTTCTATTTGCTGTGTTACTTACACATTCCTTTAACTTTTCGAGCGGTTATTTTAAATTTTCACTAAATTTGGCGGCACTTCCAACGGTTTAGCCTGCGTGGCAGGCGTTTGAAAGGGAAGGGAAAGGGAGTTTTAGGTGCGAGAGAAACACGAGGGGCGCGCGAGGAGGGATGGAGGGAGGGAAACGCCTGCCAGGAAACCATTGTTGTCGCCATCCCGCCTACTAATCATGTATGCGAAAATAACGCAACTGTGAATGACTAGCTGTCAAATAAGTCTGGCCGCGATGCGCTTATTTAAGTCGTATTTCGCTTACTGTTTTTCTTTTGTTTTCCTAAAACAAGAAATCTGAAGTGACGGTACTATTAAAAAAAGTATAACTGCGGTCGTTCGTCGAAGGAAGAAAGTCGCAACCATGCGTGGCTTATTACGTTTTTGTTGAAGGTATCGTGTTGGACTTCTAAACTTGCATGCAATGTTTTTCGGAGAAATTAATTACAAACACTTTGCTGACTCTCGAACTGGATCCTCGCGTTTCTCTCGCACCTAAAACTCCCTTTCCCTTCCCTTTCAAACGCCTGCCACTCAGGCTACCACCGGTTTGGATTTTGATAAATTTCGTGGCGCAGCTCCTTTTTTATCTCTTAATTTCCTAGCGCGTAAGCCGGTCGGATGACGTGGCGCTACCTCAAAACATTAATAGACCTCTTCAGCTTTTATGCTTTGATGTGGGATGTATGCAGGTCACGTGATATCTAAAATAAATTTGTTCTTTTTCTTTTCATAAATTATGTGCACATATGCACGTGACTGAGACAAAAGTGAAAAAAATAGGTCTCAAGAATAACATCACATGTCCTCCATTGGCAAGCAGAAAACGAAGAGGTCCTCACTCTCTATTCGACTCTTGAGAGGAAAACTGGGCCGAGTTATTTTTTCGCAAAGACTTCTGGGACTGTTACTAGAGCCAGGGACGAAAACTGACCAATGGCTGACCTTCGTGTTTCCAATAACGATCCCAGAAACAATAGCGGGACACATTTCGGCTCCAGTTACCTTCTCGTTTATTAAGTGGTGACGTGCGCTATACGCCACTTCTACATTTCCCATAATGCACTTCATTTGCCCCCCAAATTTTGCATAAGTATTGTTTTCAATTTCTCTTGGGACGGCTGTAATACCCAGGAGAAATGAAAAACAAAGGTTATGCAAAACTTTGGAGAGCAAATAAAGTGCATGATGGGAAATGTGAAAGTGGGGCATGAGTATGGACCTAAATTTGATAAAACTTTTACACATGCAATTTACAAGGGTAGGTTGAGTCTGAAAACAATAGCTACACTTGTAAAAGCTTTATTAAATTAACCCCTGGTAGTAAGTTTTTTACGTAGTTTGTCATGAGTTTCAATGACACGCACCTGAGGAAGACTCCAAGGCGGTGGTAGAACGGCGCCTAAGGGAATCACCGGGATGACAGACAAGGGAATCTTTAGTGGACAGCTCAGCATCCTGAAACAGGAGACTTGTTGTTAAGCCCGGTTCTCATATTTCCGCCAATCTTCCTGCGACATAGCCGCCGGAACTGCCTGGTATATATAGGCAAATCTTTGTTTTTTTTTTCTTCATTAGCATTTGCCTTTCATTCTCTTATCAAGCTATCAAAAACGCAATATCAAAAGAGCATAACAATTTCAGTTATCTGTAAAAATTTGAACCCGACATACCGGATAGTTTTGGAAAAATTGTAAACACTCAAAACTTTATAAACAATGTATGGGCCCATTAACGTTTTTTTCCCCCAGCAACTTCTCAGTTTTCGATGGCTGCTTTTTCCTGAATTGTTACTTGCAAAGAGCTGAAAATTGCACAAATTGCTCAAATTAACTAACTCTTTCAACTTTTACATTCCATTGTGCATACGGTGACGCCTTCCATAGGTAAACTCGTACGCTAATGATTAAAAATGTTAACAATAACCTCATCAAAGATTCGCCTATACTGTTCCAAAATATGAGAATATACAACCCCTGCAACAAGAAACGTGAATGGTCCTCACCGCTGGCACGCCTGCCAAGTTGATATCGACTCACCTTCGCATGCATACCGGCGGTAAAGACTAGCACGGCCTCTTTTAAATCGTAACAGCATCCCAGGCATTACCGGCGGCTATATCGCAGGTGATCGGCGGCACATTAGTGAGTTTACGTAACAATGCGGCAGAAAGAAGAGGACAGCAAAACGCTTGCGTGTGACAAACGTGACAGGGCTATTGCTTGCATGTTTAGTCGTAATCTTCACTTAACGATATGTTTTCTGGTCTTTAACAAATAAATCTGTTTAAGGGAAAGTGAAGTTTGGAGGAACTTTTGTTCAAACAAAATTATTGTCATGCTTGCCACACAAGGTTTGCCGTCTTCTTTTCTCTCCCGTCCTGTTGCGTAAGTTCACTACCATCACACAGTATCATAGAGATAACAAATATGTGACCATAAAGGCCCACAAAAGGTGACTGGGACGACAAGGGGTGGGAAGAGTGAGCACGAGGCGGCGTGGCCAAGTGGTCAGCGCATCGTGGGACCCGCAATCCAGCGGCCCAAGTCGGTTCGAGTCCCGCTCTGGCCAATTGCTAAAAATGGTTGTTGGTCGTCCCGTCTCCAAGTCCACGTCCATCCTAGTAAATAGCAAACTGGTTGCCTTCTGCCAGTTGAGGTTTTTAATCATGTTATGTTACATTTGAATTGTTTGTCTCTAATTATTGGAGTGGAGTGCCTGTAAACTAGATGGATAACCTAAGTGCACTTTCCACTATAAACAAACCTTAGCCTTATTTACGAGCACCTATTACTTCTCGGGGATCATTTGATGAGGAAACAAGACCACAGGCAAGGGGTTTTTTACTGTAAAATTCATTCTGTTCCTTTTTTTCTTCTTCTACAGATAGATTAAAACCGGGTCATTTTGCTGGGTGTCAGTAAAACGCGGGATCGGGCTCGAAGTCTATCTTTTTAGGTTCAGGGTTAGTGTCAACCCTAACCCTAACCCTAACCCTAACCGTAAAACATCATTCTTTCAAAAAGGACAGTCCCCGAGCCCGACTCCGCGTTTTACTGACACCCCATTTTGCTTCAGTTTTTTCTTTTACCTCCAAGGCTAGTTGGTGAATGCTAGAAATGACAAAAATTTAGTAGCCTATTTGCACTCCACATTACAATGAACCCCCCACCTTTTCTTCTGAACAATGTTCGCGCTGCTACATGTGCAGCATCGGTAAAGCAAATTTCTTATCATTTAAGAACAAAAATTAAAGGACAATCTTACAATCCCTCGTGAAGTTTGAAGCCACCGCCTCTCTCCAATGTTCTTCAAGAAGAGAACAGTTTCTAGGGATTGGTCAAGCACTATGGACAGAAGAGAAAAAAGAAAAGAATGAGAAGTTGAAAATGTGATTGATATTTATGATAGTTAAAATACAGGCACGAGAAGTAGACCTGTAAAAGCAATTACAAGTGAGCAACGGTAAATACTGGAAACTTTAAGATCCCACAGCGCGAAGGCAACGAGAACGTCAAAAACAAAGGTAGGTTTAGTAGGCAAAATAACAACTCTGCACGTGCATCTCACTTATTTGTACATTTCTTTGCCGCTTTTGCACGACTACGATGTGAAAATGCCTAATTTTACTTCTCAAGGAGGACGTAAACAAGCGACGACGAAATTTTATTCTCTTCCTAAACTTGAATATGATTCTAAGAAATTCAGCTCCGGGAGGGTTCACCTACTTTTGACAAAGTATGTGAGTTGGAATAATCGCAATAAAGACCAAAAGAACGCAAATTTATTTTTGAAGCAACGTTTTCGCTGCTGGCGCGTCGTCGGATAGTAAAGTCCCTATTACAGAGATCTGACGCGAAGATTTTATCGAGCCTCAGCACTGAAACCAAGGAAGAAAGACTTCAGGACAGAACTGACCCAAAACAACAATATCCTCCAAAATCCCTACAGATAAACAGTACCATGCAAAAGCTCTGCCAAAGAGGTTTCACAAGGTACTTCTGAAGAGGTTTCCTTAGAATGGTAACACCTCAAGATTCCATCCACAGACTCAAAAGTTAGAACAACAGACTAAATAAATAGTACCACGTGAAAGTACTGCTAAAGAGGTTTCATTTGAATGGTAACACCATAGGATTTGGTCCACAAACTCAAAAGTTAGAACAACATACTAAATGAATGGTACCATGTGAAAGTACTGCTGAAGAGGTTTCATTTAAATGGTAACACCATAGGATTTTTTCCATAGATTGAAACGTTATAGCGACAAATAATCTTGCGATAACGTGGTCAACAAGTGAAGGGGCTAAAGAAATACACAAATCAGTGGATCATTTGAGGTTTCTGGTTAACTGATCACCTATCTATCCCCTAAGTCACTATTTTTCCCTAAGTGAGAAGGAAGTGCTAATGTTGACTTGGGGGCGGGGTAGGTGGTCAGCTACCCCAAACCCTCACAAAATACCTGATGAAGAAGGAAGTTCAGACGTCTCTGTCTGATGCTCGCTGATTGGATAAACCTTCACACGGCGTTTAAATGACCGCTAAAATAAATAAAAAGGATCAAATTTTGAAGAAGGAGAAAAGAATTATACAACATGCAGAATTATCCGTGTGAACCCAAAAGGGCAACAGATTACTCCATCTCCAAGGGACAAACTCGCCGCAATTAGAAACAAATCTTCTAACAGCCACAAGCACAAAGCTAGCTTTTCTATTGCGTGCCAGGTTGCACTTCAGTCTGGTTTCACGAGCCCATAACCTGTAGAAAGCAACTTTACTTGTGTCACGGCGTTTTACTAGCCAGTTTATTTTTAAAAAGTGTTTGGCGCGAATTTAAAATATCTCGCAAGTCCCACAAATCAGTCAGCAAAACCTACAGATTTTAAAATGGTATTTTTGGACTTTTGATGAAGTTTTGTTCTCCTTATTCATAATCTTATACTTCGAATGCGCCCACGGACGGAGGACGTTTCCAGCTTCGCGGGAAGAACTGCTCTAAAAATAAACCGGTCGGTGAAAACACCTTGACATAACCCTAGTATGGGAGTTGCTCACTACAGGACTTTTTTGGTGATTGTTTTCCAGTGAGTTGCCTGTTTTCACACGCATGATCAAATTCTCCGTGGCGTGGCCTTTTTTTCACACGCTTGCATGATCACCGTCTTCAGGGTGTGGCCCGTTTTCACACGCACGATCACCGTCTACACGGCGTGGCCTGTTTTTTCACACGCTTGATCACCGTCTCCCGGGTGTGGCCTGTTTTCACACACATGATCACCGCCTTCATGGCGTAGCCTGTTTCCAGACGCGTGATTACCGTCTTCAGGGTGTGGCCTGTTTTCACACGCATGATCACCGTCTATACTGCGTGGCCATTTTTTTCACACGCATGATCACCGTCTTCAGGGTGTGGCCTGTTTTCACACGCATGATCACCGTCTACATTGCGTGGCCTTTTTTTTCACACGCTTGATCACCGTCTCGAGGGTGTGGCCTGTTTTCACACGCATGATCACCGTCTCCATGGCGTAGCCTGTTTCCAGACGCATGATTACCGTCTCCAGGCAGTGGTCTGTTCTCAGACGCTTGATCACCGATATTAGGGTATTTACGCATGATCGCCGTCTCCGGGGTGTGGCCTACTTTCACAAGCATGACTGACATTGTATCCAGGGTGTCTCCTGCTTTCAAACCAGCCACAACACCGATCCAGTCTTGGATGTGAACTCGAACTAGCCAATAGCTGTGCGTCTGTTCAATGTTCTGGGTAATCAGTTGCGTCCGGTCATCGCAAAGGTCAGGGTTTGATTCCCGGTCAAGCCTTAATTTTTTTAGCTTCTCTTTCAACCGCTTAGGTTGTTCATTCTACTGCGAAGATCATGTTCATTTTCATGTTACATCCGCAGTTCAAAATATGATTCATTTCATATACTTCAATTCATGTCTATTCCACCATCGGGTATATTACGAATTCGCAATGGCCAGCTCTCCAGTTGCCTTGATTAATGGATAGAACGTTGCGTCCGGTAATCGTAAAGGCCGGGGTTCGAATCCCCGTCAAGCATGAAATTTTTCAGGTTCTTTTTCAACCGCTTACTTTAGCTTGTTTATTCTACTGCGAAGATCATGTTCACTTTCTATTTGTTAACGCGACAAAAGGACTACTTACCCTACTGTATCTGAAGAGGAAGATCCATAACAGATTAACCGGTAGTACAAGAACACTGCACATGATCCCAACCAGAATGCTCTCTACATTGAGGTCCAAAATTCCCAGCACTTCAGGAACCTGGCAGAAGTTGAAAGCAGAAACATAAAACAAAGAGTTGAGTTGTATATATTATACTAGCCATACGCTAGAGGGGTGACTAAATCTCAAGCAATATATCAAGACAAGTGATAACAAAGATCGCCTACGAAAAGGGTCGAAAGACAAACGTAAAGGCACCTCAGAAACGTTGGTATCTCGTGAGAAAAATTGGAGAGGAGATCCTGGGAAACAGGGCAGTTTGTTGAAGGGGCTATGTTACAAGGATAATGCTGTTTTAGGTTAACTCTGTGTTTAAGTATATACCTTACAGTACCACAGGAAAGTACTCTTCGGTAGCTTTCAAATGAATGGTCACACTCAAGAATTTTCTCTTAGCACTCGAAAGTCAGAACCATCTTGTAGAGCATAAACAAAAGCATTACAGCAAAGTACTGCTCAGTAGCTTTCATTTAAAGGATTTCACCCACAGACTCAAAAGTTAGAACCACACCTTGCACAGCATAATAAACAGTAACACAGGAAAGTACTGCTCAGTAGCTTTCACTTAAATGGTCACACTTAGGGATTTCATCAACAGACTCAAACGTTACAACGACTGAATGTGATTGAACTGAGGATATAACCTGGTAACAAGTAACTTAGTTGCAGACAAGTTGACTGTAACCGAAGTTGCTGCACTCACTAAAACACTGAATACTCAAAATAATATACCTCAGACTTGGGTCTATACCAGGCAATGTTGACACACAGGAAACACAGTAATAAAGACCAGCAACAAGTTAGACGCTAAAGAGATGACGAAAAAAACAAAAACAAAAACAAACATTACCAAAACGAACTGCGAGGAATGTACCGCCCGCAGGGTACGTACCCATTTTGAACAAAAATTCAATGACTTTTCAAGGACGCATTTCCCATTTTCCAAGGACTTCATTCAGTGCAAAAAAGAGCCTTAAGTCTATGTCTTTTTTAGTTCTTCCAAAACATGAGCAACTTTATCCTGAAGGTCTTTCCGTGTTTGCTCCTTTTTGTCACTTGAGAATCTGGATTGGATAAAGTAACCAGTGAAATTCAAGGAGTTTCCAGCACCGACTACAATTTTCAAGAACTTTCAAGGCCTTGAATTTTTATTTTAAAATTCAACGTCTTTTAAGGTGCGTGCGAACCCTTTGTACGAATACGGTATTTTACGGAGGTAGCAGTTTTACGCGGCTTGCGTTCACAGTCTATAATGATAGCAGTACAAGTCCTAAGACCTTTTGAAAATAGCAGGTAAAAGGCAAAGTGAAATTGGAGTTTGATTTTTAAGCCGTAAGTGTTAAACTTAATCCAAATGGCGATACACACCTGTTTTTTTCCATTTGTACTATAAGCGGCGTCAAAAATGTTGACAAATTGTCCTCAAATGGGATACTTCGGAGAACAAAAATATTCACAGCCCTGTATTCAAAGTTGGGGTGTTCGCTATTTTCTACAGGTAGCTCGAACAGCAGGACAACATTGTATTGCAGGGGTAAGGAAGGGAAAGCTTTATTTTCCTCTTTTTAAGTTGGCAGAATGTCAGAGACGCCCTTTAGGGCAAAAAGTTTCGCGTAATTTTGTCGCCAATTGTAGTTCCTCATTTTAAACAGAATGAGAAGGATCTGTAAACTGCACAATGGGATTGTTTTGGGAACGCCTTCACTTCTTTCATTGGCTATTATTTGGTCAAAATGCGTCCCCAGAAACAGCCCCAAAGTGCACTTCGGCACAACAAAAACCCCGCCATTTACCCACTTCAAGCTAGCGATAATACACAAATTAACAGTATTCAAATTTGTATTTCCTTTCACTTACCTGTGGGCGAGTAAAACGGCTGTAAGATGGCCGACCCAACAGCGATATCCACAAGTGGTAGTCTACAAAGCTCTTTGTGATGTGTTGAGAAAAGCACTGGAAAAAAAAGTGAAATTTTACCAAAATAGCCCGTGCACAGACGTTTTATTTTCTTTTCGTTCTTTTTAAAACATCGGCGAGCTCGCGAGAACGAGCGCGGAGCCCTTGCGCTGGTGGTCAATAAATCCCCTGTGGTTTATATTTTATCACCCGCGCTCCATCGACTTTGAAGAGAAAATAGAGGGTCTGTGAACAGGCTATACCAAGAAAAAGAAAGAAAAAATGGGGGAAAAAGTAATAATGTTCTTGATTCTACCTGATTCTACCGTGACTGTACTCAACGTTGACCACAACTACAGTCACAGTTATTATACATTACAGAACGAAAACGACTTTTTGTAGCCGGCATAAGTTGAAAATTCGAATGACACTCACTACCCTTTCTTACAACCATTTCTTTGACTCAACAAACCATGCTACATTGTAATGTCTTTATCAAACCTTTGTGCAAAACTTTAATTTAACTACTTTCAACCAAAATTCCACTCTTTAGTGGTTTGCAGAAGTACTTACAAAAAGCTACCACCTAAAAAGGGATCGTTATACGTTTCTGGGAAACTGCCCACCTACCCCTCCCCTAAGCCAAGCCAGGTGGGCAATATTTTGCCTTAAGGGAGAAGTGTTAATGTTGGCGTAGGGAAGGGGTAAGTGGGCATTTTCCCAGAAACGTATAACTATCCCCAGTCACCCAGTTACTACCTAAAAATCCATCAAATTAATTCCTAGTGATTTAATAACCTTTTTTAAGCTACTGTTGCAAGTACTTGCGTTTGGTAACAGCTCGCACTCAACCTGGAGAAATAATACAAGACATTCAATTATCCTGATGAACTATGGCAAAATTGTTCAGGTAATCATTCTAACCCGAAAACGCGTCGGACTTTAGATCTGTAGAGGTTCGTTAGCTGTGTTGTTGATGTTCTTTGGACAAGAAATTGGACATAACTTTGTGTCTCTTACCCAGGCGCCGCTTGCTAAAAACATGGATAACTTTATACCCCAGATAAATCATTGGTTAACGCAATTAGTTTCCCTAACACTTATCAACTTCAATCTCGGGCAAAACCCTTGAAACACTTTAGAAAATTTCGCTCCCTTTCGTTTCCCCGATCCCTTTTGAATGTTGTTGTGTCCGCGTTACTTTGCAATCACATCTCAAGACTGCAGAGGGAAAGGGAAGTGTATAGATGTTTCAAGGACTTTTGGTGAGGATTGTAGATAGTGATTTATCCTGTAAATAGCAACGTGGTACAACCGGGACCAAGTCTACAAATAATTACTGGGGACAAAAAAATAATGCTGTTGGTAACAAACCCTACGACGATGCCCTAATAACTCTCTGAAGGAGGGGGAGGGGGTGGAGATTGGAAGTAGAGTGGCGATACTCCCAGATGCTTTATGCCATTGACTAAAACCAAGATAAGCGCTAGCTGTGTGTGTGTGCCTCCTTGGCTCGTATTTCTCCTTTTCCTGGCCTGGGGCCCGTTTCTGGAAAGTCCCGGTAGCTTTTCGGGCCCGAGCCATATTTTGAAATCAAAATTTAAGGAACGTTAATGCAGTTTCAAACCTCCTAAACAGCCCATTTTTTTTTACCTACTAATTTTAATGTATCAGTTGCAAAATGTAAACAAAGCAAACATAAAACAGTCTTCCGTCGCCCCATGCAAGGTAATCCAAGACAGTCTTGGATTGTGGCCTCTGGATTCCATGATGTGGATTATAGACTCCACTGGATTCCGCATGCCTTGTCAGGGAACTTGAAGTCCAGATTCCAATCGTTAGCTATATTCCGGAGTCCTGAGTTGTATTTAGGATTCCAAATCCCAGGATTCCGGATTCGCATTAGGACTGCCTTAAATGGGGCGACTTCTCCGTCCGGTAATTACCAGGACCTCTCGAAATGGGCCCCTGGTTGGAGCTAGCATGCATGTATCTCAAGTTCTTACTTCCCTTAGGGGGCATTTATAACTCATTGCTTCACTGCGCCAAAAGTAGTCATGCAAAAGGCAAAAGGCCCCTGCGAAAGTAACAAGTTACACCTGAAGTGACCTGAGGGAAGTGGACACTAAGATATCAGAGAGTTTTAAAAGCTTCACATATACGGCAAACGGCAAACGCCAGATTCAAGTTGAGAATAGGCCATTTGCATGATGACGTCATTTTACTACTAAGACCAGAATCCTTCAGGACTTTGCTTTCTTGCGCAAATTAGGGCTTTCACACATAAATTAAAATATGAAAGGAAAAACGAAAAGGATTCTGGTCGTAGTAGTAAAATGACGTCATCGTGAAAATGACCTGTTTCTCAAAATAGAGAACCAGCAGATAATAACGGTTCAAAACAATTCTTATGAAAAAAAAACTGCGTGAAACTACTAATTTATGTGTTGAAATAATAAACAATAAACGACAAATAAAGTAGAAACTTGGTCACGTGGTACAAATTCGCGTCAGCCGTTTGACGTAAACGTGAAGCTTAACCTCTCTATTTACAATTTACAATCTTCCTTCACCATCGAACAATCACTGGTTAAAAAAATTTTACATCAAAATGCTTTCGTACCTTTCCATTTCCTTCATCCACTGCTAACCATCTATTGCAGTCAAAAATCCTACCAAGATCATAAAATGGACAATTACAATATAGTTTAGAATTTTCAAGGGTTCACTAACTTAACTCCTTTCTGCAAAACAATAACCCAGACAGCAGGAAAGTAACTCTAGTTCTAAATTTTGTTCTAAAAGGTGGCACGAGCTCTCGAATCTGTGGTTAACAAAACTGAAATTTCAAATGAAAGCTTCGTGGCAGTATTTACTGCTCTAGTACTAAGTACTATTTGTAAGCTCGTGGTACTAAGTACTATTTGTAAGCGTACTAGCTGAATAAGGGTTACTGTTGGCATACCATTTCATCCCATCGCTAACGTCCTTGATAGTAATTCGTTCCAAGAACCAGCCTGGGTGTTCCCCGACATTATCGTGCCATACATGGATTTTCGAGATGTTATTCTTAAAACTGATTGGAACACTGAAAAAAAAAAAGCAATTGAAATGAAATGCGCGGCGTGCTTTGGTTGACGTACCCCCAGTACAATGCAACGGATTTCATTCAAATGATGTTGTTGCCCTTCCAGTAACTGTGCTCACATTGTGCGTGACTCCTGTTAAGTTGTTCTACAGTAGTCCTTGTTCACGATGCCCGCCATCTTCGCCCACGCTTTAGGATCAATGGGAGAAAAGAAATGTCACGTGGTATTCCAAAGAGTAAACAAGCGAAAACATTTGGCCAATACGAGAAAGGGCGGTCAAGTTTGTTTATTCTCTCAAAACGAGACCAAGATTTTAGTCTTGCAAAAAGTACAGTTCACTGTGAGGACATCTAGTACGGTCGCTACTGTATCCAATCACTTTCACCTAATTAGCCATTATAGTGTTTAAGATAATACGTTCTTCATTTTCTGTTGTCTAGAATAAACAAACTCGACGGCGACTTCTTGTATCGACTGATTTTTATGTTTTCCCCCTCAGGAACCACGTGACATTGCCTTGATCCCATCAGTCCTTGAGCGTGTGCAAAGACGGCGGGTATCGTGAATAAGGTCTATTGCTATAGGATTTAAGGGAGCCGAAGCCAATTGTCGAACATTTTTGGCATCCTATCGATGAACGGCTAGGACTCTCATATGTCATCAGGAACAACAATTGTTTATTTGCTGTCCCTTTCAGTTCATTTCTTCGAGGGTTTCTTTGTATGACTCGCCAGTTCCTTCCCGAATCCTTAGAAGATACAACTATTCATCCGACTTTTATAAAATATGATCAGTTATCGATAATTGTTTTACCTCACAACAAAAACATCACAGGAGCTTCTCTGAAACAGATGTCTGCCCTCACACTTTAACTCAATTGGATTCGACACTTGACCTTCACCATGAAGTACGACATATACCTGAATACAAAGGAAAATTATTATGGCAAAGACTCCAAACTTCATTTTGTAGAATGCTGGAAAACAAATAGTAGCACGTGAAAGTACTACCAAAGGCGTTTCATTTGAATTTGATTTCATCACAGATTTCGTCGAAAGTTGGAAAAACATACTATATAAATAGTACCATGTGAAAGTACTTCTGAAGAGGTTTCATTTGAATGGTAAAACAATAGGATTTGGTCCACAGACTCAAAAGTTAGAACTACTACTAAATAAATAGCACCGTGTGAAAGTACTGCTGAAGATGTTTCATTTGAATGCTCACACCATAGGATTTCATCCATAGACTAAGAGGTTAGAAAAACATACTATATAAATAGTACCATGTGAAAGTACTGCTGAAGAGGTTTCATTTGAATGGTCACATCATAGATTTTGTCTACAGACTCAAAAGTTAGAACCACCTTTCAAGGCTTCGGTCATCTTTCACTCTTAGGGAGAAAAGTCTTGTATTCATCTACTTCGCTTCCATAATCATTATAGACTTGCTTAATGCAGGTTGAAATTAAGGACAAACTAGATTTCCATAGCATGTACATTGAAATAAAATCTCTGCTTCTGTACTTTTGCTCAGAATTATTTGTTTTTCGATGCACATACTTGAAGTTTGATTCGTGGCATTTTAAAGACAAGAACATTTAGTACTGCTATAAACTTTCTCAGCTAATATAGACAAATTAGAGAACCAAAGAACAGAATTTAGTGAAGTAAATAGACTGTTTGCAACTGATCAGTCAAGTGGTACAAAAACGTCATGCTGGTACGCAAAAAGACAACAAAAACAAATTAGCTCCCATAATTCAAAATGGTAATTTCCTTTGTTTGTCTTGTTCAAGAGCGTCTCTTGCGTCCCAGCATGACCTCTTTGTATCACGTGACTCATCACCTGCAAAGGGTTTATCCACCACCCTTGTCATCTGAGGCTTTCTCCTTCTAAATTCCCTCCTCTGTTTTGTTTCCCAGAAACGCAGTTATGGTTTTCAACTACATCAAATGAGTTACACTGGCTAATCACAACAAGCGCAGATGTCAATACCACCGAAATCACTTAACTATTAGGTCCCCGAAGAAGACGATCGTTTGCATTTGAATTTTTGACAGCCCACGTGACCTTACCAAGCGCCGGCCTTTATTGTCAGGCGACTTTTCGTCCCTTTTACAAAGGAGATAACGACAGTTTGCAGTTCAAAGGCTCCAGACTGCCAGGATAGAATTATGTCGAAAGATCCCCGCCTCTGCCCAAAATGGTATCACAATCAGTGATCGCATCTTTTCAATTGCTTTTCTAACCTGGAAAGTTCTTCCTTAAGTATTCATGAACGTATCAACCGCAAACCGTTTGAACCGCTGCAACAGACGTTCTAAAATTAGGGAAAGTCACAGGACGAAACGAGACTCTCGGAATGGTCACGTGAGCTATTAAATTATTCAAATGACAAAGATTTTTTTTTTGAAATGCGAACAGTTCAGTGATTTCGGTTAAAACCAATCAGGACGCGAAGTGCGTGAACCTGGCGTCCAGGGCGGGAAACACGCGTAAGTCACGGCGTACGTGTTTCTGTTTTGCTGATTGGTTGAGGAAATAACGTAACGTGAGTTTTTTCAGCTAGACTCAAAGCGTGGCAAAGCAAATTCATTAGTTATGACAAAAGCTAAACTTACTTACCCCAGCTGTTGT